CTTATTTCACCCTAAATCTTTTCAAATTTTTACCATTTGATAAATTTTATAATAAATAGAACTTAGTTTATTTCACATTACACGAATAGATCAAAATATTTTAAAATTGTTTGAAAATTAATTTTTTTTCTTTTTTCGTTCAAATATCAGAATATTAATAACAAATGTTGCAATTAGGTGCTATTTTCTCCATTTATTAAATTAATACTTTTCTTTCTTATTCATTATGTTTGTTAATCGATCAAAATATTTTAAAATTGTTTGAAAAATTAATTTTTTTTCTTTTTTCGTTCAAATATCAGAATATTAATGACAAATGTTCCAATTAGGTGCTATTTTCTCCATTTATTAAACTAATACTTTTCTTTCTTATTCATTATGTTAATCAATCAAAATATTTTTAGAATTGTTCAAAAAATTCAAAATTCTTCTTTTTTTTTAAAATCCAACCAAATATCAGAATATTAATGACAAATGTTCCAATTAGGTGCTATTTTCTCCAATTATTAATTTAATACCTTTCTTTCTTTATAATATCTATTCTTTATACTACAGTTTATTCATGCTGAAAATCAAGCAAATATTTTTAAATTATTCGAAAAATTCAAAATGCGTCTTATTTTTTCTTATTTCATTCCAATATCAGAAAAATAATGACAAATCTTCTAATTAGCTGTCATTTTGACCATTTATTAAATTAATACTTTTCTTATATTATATTATATATTTCTTAGATTAATTAATATTTTTTATAAAATATATTAATTTTGTTTTCACATTGTCTTATATCTTGTTCTGTAAATACGGTGATTCCGAACAATTTACTACTTCAAAAAAAAAAAGAAATTTCAAGGAAAGTGATTTTTTTGCCATTCTTATATGAGAAAATCTTAAGTTACAATTCCTTATTTACATATTGATAGATTGTTATGAAACTAAAATTTAGTTATGAAAATAAAATTTGATGACTTCATTCTTTTTACAGAGCATCAATGATATATTTTCTTTTAGGAAATATAACATAATCAGCCTGTATGCTTAATTTATTTTATTTTAATAACTAATTAAGGATTGTATCTTTATTAACTGAGTAAATTATGGAGTAAACATAAAAAGGGAAAGGAATAGAGGGATTTGGCTAAGGGAATTCTTCAGGATTTAAAGGAGAAAAATAAAATATATATATATTTTTAGATACATTTATTTGAAATAGAATACATCGAATCTTGCAATTACTGTACAAAAACACTCAAGGGTGATTATAAGAGCAAAAAACATATAGAAAATGATTCCAATATTCGGTATAATTAAATAAAAAAAACCTTCACAGAATTAATAAATATGCCATTTCTATTGAATGATCTACATTACAAATATAATTTTTATTTATCTTACATTATGATAAAATAATTTCAATTATTCATGTAACTATTACATAACCTTGACAAATCTAATGGAAATATGAATAACACACACAAAATACATCTTTTAATAAAAGTATTATTAAGAGTAGAAGTAAATATAACATTTACTAATTTTAAGTTTTAGGTAAGATAAGCTCTTTTATTTTCAAATCTTGTAGCAAACACACTTAAAGGTTTCCTGAAAAAGGATTGTTTTACTTATTCTCTTATTACTTTTTGTTAAGTATACATACTTATCACCTCACCATATTGATTCAATTTGACGTAATACTTATTAAAATATTCTTTATTTATTATAAAAAAATTACAAGTATTAAACGACATGAATAATTGCAATACCAATAATTAAATTATTACAATAATGATCTAATGATTACAGGAGTAATTAAAATAACAAATTAAAAAATGAAGGAAAGTGGTTGTCCAGCGTGGCAGTTCTTGTCCAGCGTGGTAGTTCTTGTCCAGCGTGGCAGTTCTTGTCCAGCGTGGCAGTTCTTGTCCAGCGTGGTAGTTCTCGCCCGGACTTCACCACATCATTGCCCTGATGATGACCCACATGCTTGAGTTGAAACATAGGCAAAATCAATAAACACTTTTTTTGACTGCACATTCTATCCATATTTCATTTACAATTACAATTCCAACAATCAACTATATCTATCAATAAAATAACAAAAATAAATAATATCAATAGTTTCTATAATGATTATAAGAATTAAATGGCAAGAACAATTACAATAATTAAATGTAATGAAAAATTAGACTATATGACATGAAAAATTGTAATGGTTCTCATTAAATGAATTTGCTTTTGATTTGGCCTTCGTTATCTTCATGCTCTTTAGCCATATAGGAAAGTATACAGTCTAATTCTGGTGTCGGAGGTGTGTTGGTTGTTTCTTAGAGTTGGTTGTTCCAGGCCTCTGATTAAGTATACGTAGGTAAAGACTGCATGCCCCCAATTTGGAGTCTTGGAAATATTAATTTTTCTGATGTGGATTCAACTGAAGAAAATTTCCATCGCAGAAAGGACTTGAAAGCATTTGTTTGTCAATAGTCTCATTCGCATTTATGCCATTTTTTTCCAAAGACATCTCCAATCAGCAGGGTACTTCATCATTTTGTTCAAGAAGGTCCTAGAAAACAGCTAAATACCTAATAATAATGGACAAAAGAAAACTGACTGTATTAGTACGTACTTCTGAACATCTCCAAAGCATTCGATTCGTTAGACCATTCTATCCTCTTTGCTAAATTAAAATGTCAATCCTTTTCCAGTAGTTTTATCTTAGGGTTCCAATCCTTCCTTTCTGAGCGGACTCAAGCTGTTGGTGTCCTGAATCAATCCTTATCTTCCTTCCTCACTCAGTCTGATGGAGTAGCCCAGCTTTCAAACATTTCCCCCTCTCCTATTTAATTCTTACATCAATGACCTTCGTAGTTCAATCCACCATTGCTCATACCATCTACTTGCTGATGACTCCCAAATTTATCTATCCTTCCGTTCACTGAGTTATTAGAAGCGTTTACTTATATTCAGAAAGACCTAGATAGGATCAGTGCCTGGGAAAACTTGAATAAATTAAAGTTATACGCAACGAAAATTCACGCCATCATTATAGATTCCCACCCTTCCTTCCTTGATTATTAATGACCAACCAATCTCCTTCACCTCCTCTGTAAAAAAATTAGGAATTACCATTGATCAAAACCTATCCTGGAAACCCCATATCTCCAGAAGATCAATTGGTACACTTAAACTATTCCATCTTCCTCGTCAGCATTTCTCACAACCTATCCGCAAGCTGATCATTTCCTCATTGATTTTCTTCCACTTTGACTATGGCTCTGTAGTATACAGCGGCCTCTCGTTGAGGACAGACTGAAGAGAATCATGAACTATTTTTTAAGAATCGTCGGCGGTGTTTCGAGACGGTCTCATGTGTCTCACCTATATGCCAAGTCAAAGTGGCTCTTCCCACCGCCAATACTTCCTTGGAAATTTCTTATACAAAACAATCAACTCTCAGCACACTTCCTATAAATATAATTATAATTGAAGATTTTCAATTCATCTACTATTACTTATTTGAGAAGTTGGCCAGGCGTTTTGTCAAATTAAATACTATATATTATGATAGTATTTTACTGGATATGCCTAATTAATATTATTTAATTTGACTGCACTTTCGATCAATTCCTCAAATTATAATCATAGAGTCAACCATTGTCACTCTATTATTATTTATGATTTAAGGTAAACGTACCAATAATAGGCAATATTTAATTCATAAACCAATAATAAGCTTTATATACCGAATAGAGAATGCAAATATGAGTAGTAACTTAGGAACTAGAACACTTACGAGGGTGATGGCTGAACCTCAGGTCATACCATACCACAATAGCCGATTGGCTGTTGATTACTTAATAATATAACGCTGAGGTTTGTTGTAACAATGATACTATAATAATTCAAAGTTTATTCTAAAAAAAAATTAAAGATAAAAAACCTTTACATAAGAAAACTGAGCATAACACCAGAACGTACAGTGATCTCTGAGATATTTAACCAAGTATAGTCTTGTTTTCACATAATTTCTAATGCTTATTAGCATTAAGTTTACACTTCATATAATATTATTGGGATTGGTACCAAACACATATGATTAATTAAATAAAAAATTTAATTATGAATGGTAATTTTATTCTTTATGTAGATTTTTTTTTTTCTGTTGGCATTACAGACCATGTACATCTTTTGCGCCTTAAAAATCCTGCTTCCTCTCTGCCTGTCTTGGGCTATTTCTTTCCATTTATCTGCACTCAGCTATATTGCAAGTATATGTAGTAAATGAGTGTAATATAAGTGGTTATTTTTATTTCTTTTAAGTGATGTTTGTAATTTTATAAAATATAAACTTAATAAACTTGTATAAAAATTTTATACATTACAACCCAAATATATTATTAAAAAAAAATAAAATTTGAACTTCAGGCTGTTTTTTTTCTCTTCCTTTTCTTTGATACAAAAAGCAATGTAATAAAAATCAAATAAAGATAAATAAAATGAAACAATATGTATCTCTATTATTATTTATATTCCTGTCTCTTACTTTATCTTAATCCTTAAATTTATTTATTATTATTTATATTCCTGTCTCTTACTTTATCTTAATCCTTAAATTTATTAAGTTTTTCTTTTTGTTGTTTACTTCTGACTTTATAATATACACCTATCTATATCTTTTGTATAGCTGATTTAAATTCAGCATTGTAGAAGACCCAGAAGTTTGCATTGAAATGTTGGCTTTTGTAATAAAATAATAATGATTGAATCCTAAATATTTATTTCATGATCTAAATCACAATCAATCAAAATATCCTATAACATAAACTTTGAGCAGAGGATAATTTTTAAAATGATTTTAATGATAATTTTTATGATTTTAATTATCAAAAGAGACGTGACAGAACTTCCCTGATGATTCTGATTGGTCAAAATTGACAAACCTTTATTGGGCTACAGGAGAGTCAGATGGCGTAAGGAAAAAAAATTAAAAATAAATAAATAATGAACACCATCAGTGCAGTTATCAATGATATAAATATATTTAATGAAAATGATGACATGATCTTTTGCTTATTTGAGAACATGTACAAAAACCATAGATAAATCTAATTTTAAGGTTTACGATTTTATAGCTACATTGCACATTCACAGTAATATTCCTGCCTTTACGTCAAAATATTACAAATTGTACGCGCATAAATAAAATATGTTTAGTTTTGGTTTTTGTTTTTTATCCATTAATATTTTAAAATAATTATGGTACAATATTATATAAATAGATCACAATTATTTCACTTTTTTTCTTTTCTTTCATACAATTTCTTAAAATATACATTAATAGTGTGTGAAAGCTAAAAAGTAATTTTAACATTCTTATTAAAATAATAATTAAAAATATGCATAATGTCAAATATCACAATAGAAGAGAATATTTACACTTTAATGATTTTTTTTTTCTTTATTCTCGTTTGAGTACAAATACAAAATAAAAATGTCATTTGGAAGAACTATGTCAAAACTAAAAAAGTCAAAAAGAGTGACTATGATTTAAATGATTAGTAAAATTTTAAAAAACCTAAACAAAGAAAAAAAAAAAGAGAGCATATTTTTTTTTACTTTGATATTTTTAGAATAAAGCAACCCGCAGGAAGAAAAAAATATATTCTGCGTATCTGCAATACTAATTTGTCTAATAGAAATATCTCGTAAAGCTAAAAAGGCACAAATTATTTTAGAAGGTCTTTGCGAGACTTAAAAATTCTAATGGCATAGCAGAAAATAAGCTTAAGATAACCTCATGAAAGTTCTGAAGATGAAAAGATAATGGCCATTGATAAGGAATTGTTCTAAGTACTCTCAAGGCAGTTATGATAAATGGAATATGTGAAACACAGCAAGCATAAAATTTAGAATTGCATACATTATTTTCTTTTTTTAAAGAGAAGGAAATATTATAGCTTGAGATTGGAAGATTAATTAAAATGTGTCTCATTTGGAAAAATTATGTTTAAAATGTATTCAGACAAATAACAAAAGTTAACAAGTTAGTAATCGAGATTAAAGCTCTGATGAGTAGCGTACATTTCAGAAATCTATGTTTATTTAAGCAATTCTACATTAATCAATATTTTAAATTAGGCCTGTCATTGAAAATTGTATATCTTTCTTAAGCACACAAAAGAAATTTAATCATTGTTTTGGGCAGTTTAAAAAATAAAAATAACATTCAACCAAAAAGTGAATTAATTAAGGAATGCTACAAAAATGCAATACCTTCTTATTAATTTAATATAATAAATAAAAATAGTAATATAAAGTTGTTATACATTAAAATATATAAAATGTACAATTAATCAGCTTTCGATATTTTTTTTTTCTGAACAGAAACGGAAGCAGTACAGATATTAATAAAATGTTTTAGACCAAATATAATATATAAATCAAATAATAATCTAAAAAGAGCAACCTCCACAGTATTAAGGAAGTTCTCGAAACTTAACCTACCCTCCATACCTGCTGGTTGACAACAGACAATGATTTACCTACGTGCCCTGTCTCCACACTACTGTAACTTATTTTAATTCAAGTTTTAATTTAAAATTTTGGAATTCCACATAAAATTCAGATGTAAGCGAATCAATAATCTTTTTCACTCAAGTATTGCCATTTACTTTTTTGTTACTTATTTAAAACTTTTACAGATTTGTTAAATAGACATGATTTAATAAATTGTACTACTGATGTTATAACCTTAATCATAAATGTATTATTCCTTTGGTGTATGAAATTTAAAAAAATGAATTTCTCATAATTAAATAATACTCTTTCATCACAAATGATGATGAAGAAAGGAATATGGCACAGAATTTTTTCAGGCAATAAGAGACTTATAACCCTCTGAAGATTAGCATTGTTAAATATTTAGAATATTTGCTATTGCAAAAATTAACACGTTTTGTGTTTATCTATAGTTTAATATTAATTTTCAATAAAACATCTATTCTTTTATGACATTTGATTTCTAACTGTTAATTCACTAAAAATAACTGTTACTAAACGTGACTGGCAATAGTTAAGTAAAAAAGACCTGTCAAAACAAGACAACAGAATTAAAATGCCCAACACAGAAATTAATATTGGACTCTTCAATCCTCAAATATGAAACATATTGGTATTGTGTAGACTAACATTTTTATTAGAATATTAAAGAGAGTTAAAAAAATTTAACTTTAAAGTAGGAGAGTCGGCATGATAGTTTGAGAAATTTATGTTGACAAAAATCTGAATTATTTTGATCCCTGAGAGTTGCTAAAGAAAGACCTAACAAAATTAGCAGTCATGAAGCAAAAAGCGCTTTCTAATTCTAATAACAAAAGTTAAACATAAATACAAGTTATTAGATACATTAATATTTACTGTTAAATAACAAATAATAATAATAATAAAAAGGCAGTTAATATAGAGTTATATACAGAGGCACCACTTTTTTATAACACTTCTGGTAACTTTACCAAGCACCAGACAATTAAAAATAATTGTTCATGCGTCGGAAACCTGTGGTAATCAGTCGGGTTCCTTCTTGGCTAACTACGTCTAAATTTAACATCTATATACTTTACAAATCTAAATATTAGAACAATATTCTTTCTCTCTGTACATTATTTAGTCGGGCGATGAGCTCTGCCTAAAGGTCCGTATTGTCCTTCTTAGTGGGGCTGGTTACCGGAGGAGGGGGTGGCGTTGGCCTCGGTGGGCGGCTACTCACGCCTGCAACATAAAATGATCTTTATAACAGAACAATCAATGTAAGAGAATCAGGTGAGGACAACCAAATGATAATAAAATTAAACAAGACAATTCAATTACAAATTATAAGTCGTACAAGATACTACATTGTTATGTTAACTGAGACATATTGCTCTTTAGACCAATTGTCCATCATGACTTAGCCATTATTATGAAGACATTATTTTTGCGGTATCATCTAAGTGAAGCGAGACTATGAATGAAACATAACCATCCGTTTACACTCTATTGATAAATGAGTATTTTATTTATTTATTTGTTGAAAAGTGGAGTAGAGTTTATACATTGATAATGGAAACCTGTAGGTCTGTAAAGACAAGAACCAAAACGAAATTAAAAACTGAAAGCATGTTTTGTTTTTTAAATTTATTTAAATATTCTTGAAAAAGATTAATGTTCTTTTGCCCAGCTTAAAAAACATTGTTCATTCGATATAAATCCAGAATAAAATAAATCCAAATCCTACTTTTTTTTTGTAATTAATTTTAAAATTATATAGTTCACTTTTAAAATTATGATAACAAATAGTCAGGATTTGCTGTCTTGATTATATTATGACTCACATGCTTAGGTCAAAATGTCGACAAACTTAAAATATATAAAAATATACACAAAAATAAAATATATCTTGACTGCAAATCTTGATTTTTTTCATCTCCATAATTTAAAATTACTATATGATATTGCAAGTTTAATGATTTTAATGCAACCAGATGAGAAGAACATTATCAGTAAAAAAGATAATCTGGTGTGCGTATTACACAACTTTCATATACCACTCTACTTTGAACTGAAACTATTTACTGGCAAAGTTGGGCTATTGCAAAATTTTTGAAGGGCATTCTTTACAGAGTTAAATCTTAAACCTCACAGCTAACGAACTGTAATAACTCATTAAGACCATTATGATAGCACAAACTCTATTATATCGAAGGTAGGCAATAAAAAGCTCATAACTTCATTGGTCTTTTTGAACAACATAACTCCATTCAGTTTGAAAATACATCTATATATTTAATATTTAAAGGAGTAAGAATTTTACTATATAATAAAACTTACAGCAACTAAACCTGAATAACATTATACATGTTACTAAGTTATCTATGATTTATATTTCTTCCTGTGTTAGCAATAGTAAAAATTAAATTTATTGTTGATTATTCTTTAATCTTATAGATATTTTAGAAACTTCAAATGTACTAAAATGAAATACAAATGAATTTCAACCAAGAATAAAAGCAGTTACTCAAGTAGACTAGCAAATACCGGACCATTTCATTTAACCTTCCGTTAAATTTTAAATTCCAGATGAACCTCATTTGAACACAAAAATTCGGTCAGTCGGTAAATGTTTGAACTCAAAGTCGAAATCGGACTTTGAAGCGCATTTTGGTTCTTAATGAACCGTTGGCACAAAACATCTAAGTCTTAGAAAGTGTGTTATTATTGAAGTCATAAATTAGACATCAAATTATTCTCTCTCCAAAATACGCCTTAAGAACTAAGTTATCAATCTTATTTCAGCTGAATACAATGTCAACTGATTAAAATTTCCATCAAATTATCATTATGTAAAATTAATTATTGTAACAACAAATTTGGACCATCTCCTCCCCCTTTCGCCGGCCAATGGTGTCCCACTTTACCAATCTAAAAATCTGGTCACTTTTATATTAGGGAAAAGAGAGATAAATATTTAATACCACTGTTATAACACAGGTATGGTTGTAAAAATAAAATAATTTAATAAATAATAGATAATTAATAAAATAAGAAGAAGACAAGAGTACAAACACTGACTTGTTTCAATGATGCTGCCTTCTGAAGCTGCCCTCTGGTGGCCGGGCTGGGACATTAAAGTCTCTGGCTTCTTAGGTTTCTCGGGCTTCTCGCTCGCCTCAGCTGCAAACATAAAAAATAATAAAATAAAATACACTTCTGTGGTTTGAAGGTGAAAGGATAATTTAAAATTAATTCATAGCAATACCCAATTTTTATTAAAAAATGCCTTTACATCTTATAGGCTAAGAGCCAAGGGGCGGATCTATGGGGATGGGAGGAGGCTTTGGGGCTGAAGTCTCCCCAAAATGGTAAAATGTAACGATGTTTTATGGAAAAAAAAATTTAAAAATTATCTCTTAAAGTATTATTGTTCGTGTAATTATATTTAAAAGGACTTTAGGAATCACTTAAACACCATTTCATATAGGTAGTTAGTTTCTTTCTTTTTTTTTTCCAAAGTAATTATCGTTATTTTTATGAAAAAAAAAGCTTTGTGGCTGAAGCCCCACCATAAAATTAAATCCTGGATCCACTAGTGCAAAGAGCTACCGACCATTTCATTTAAAGGAAGGACTTTAGGCTAGTAATCATTTTAAATTCTAGATAAACCTCATCTGAACACACAACTTCGATGAATCGGTCAAACTTGAACTCAAAGTTGAAATCGGACTTTGAAGCACATTTTGGCCCTTAGTTTTTTTATTATTGTTATGGATGTTGAAGTCTCTCATACCAACAGAATAAAAAAAAGCTATATAATTTGTTTATATATTCTAGTTCTGTAATAAATATAGATAAATTAGCCAAATCAAAAGCATTGAAAAGATAAAAAGGGTTGTTGAGTGCGGCAGTTGAAGTCTCTCATACCAACAGAATATATAAAAACTATGTAATATGTTTATATATTCTAACACAAAACTTTGGTCTGTTGGTTGAAAGCCGTTGCTTTCTAAGTGAAAATTTAAATTAAAGAGGCAAAATTTGACGGTTCATTTAAAGGAAGAACATATGGCTGAAATTTCGATATGATGTCAAGAATATGTACCTTAAAGAGAATTCACCTTGACTGATGATGTACTCGGTTGCGTCTTCAAAATTGACGCTTCAAAGTCATCAAATTAGTTCAGTCTGATGATAGTTGGATGAGGAAAAAATTCAAATAGTCAGTTTCCCTTTAGTTTTTTGTGATGTGTTATGCATTAAATTTCTCATGTATCTCATGTCGACACGTTAATATGTGAGAGGCTTAAGTGGCTGTTAAAGCGCATAGAATCAAAGACGCATTATATACATACACAAATTACATAGTTTTAATACATTCTGTTGGTATGGGAGACTTCAATATCCATAACAATAATACAAAAATTAAGGACCAAAATGTGCTTTAAAGTCTGATTTTGATTTCCAGTTCAAAGTTTGAATGACTGACCGAATTTGTGTGTTCAGATGAGGTTCATCTAGAATTTAAAATGATTACTAGCTTTAAGTCCTTCCGTTAAATGAAATGGTCTACTAGAGTAACTTTGTTTTTATACCTGGTTGAAAATGATTGGTACATTTGAAGTTTCTAAAATATCTATAAGATTAAAGAATAATCAACAATAAATTAATTTTTAAATTTTTACTAGAGGTATATAGGAAGATATATAAATCATAGAAAATTTCAATACTAACCGGTACCTTTTTCATTAGGAACTTTTTCACTATTCACTTGTATTATCGCAACTTGCTGCTTGTCGACGGAATACATGTGCGTTCTTTCGAGGGATACATTGCGATCCTAGAAAAAAAAAATTAAATACATGCATTAAAATGATATTAAATATATATAAGTGTCTACCAGTAAGTGCTCTGATAGGTTTATTATATATATATATATATTTTTTTTTTCAGACGAAAATTGACTTAATGTGTTAATATCTTATTGTATCCCTGATGATGCCAGAAGTGGCAAAAATTTAGATAATTTTACAATAAATTACTTTATTAATTAAGACTATAAAGCTCTAATTCTTACATATCGCTACTGTTCGTGCGAAATGTTGTATGTAACTTTTTTTTAATGTTCATTCTCTTTGCTCAAAAGGTGATATTTTATAGTCTGCAACTGTTATAAATAATCAGATAAATAGGAAAATAAAATATGTAATTAAACTAATAAATCATAAAGAAATACTTGTTTTTTATGCTTTTCCATATAAAAAAATGCAATATTTACATACGACCTTTAGATCTAACAATAACGATATACTTTCAAAAGTCTCTTTCCCGTTATCATCATTAACTAATATAAATAGATATTTTTGTATATGAAAATGAGTAACAAATTAAAAGGTGAAAAAAATAAACAAAATATCACTGCACCCAGAATGGCCTTTAGCCACAAATAAAAAAACAAAACTTATGGTTGCATTGACTCATCCCAAATACTAATCAAAATATAACTTAAGTTTATTCTACCTACTTTATTATACTTTAAGTTTATTCTACCTACATATTATAGAACACCCAACCAATCTTTTCTTCAATTATTTGCTACAGTCAACCATCAGTCCACAATTATGAATCAAAATATAGTATTTAAATTATTATTAGTATAAAATATCTAATTAGATATGAGAGATAACGAACATAGACTGACCTCAACAAGCGTATCAGGTGACTTGGGTATCCTAAAGCTGAGAGGTCGCTGGAGCTGGGGCGGCCGCTCTGGTACAGCGGGCTTTTCCCCGACCGCGTCCCCGAGGACGGTCCTGGGCATCGGCCGCGGCGGCTTGCGCAGCGTGCAGTATCCGCCATCCTCCACCTTCATCTTCCTCACGTCCTCTCCAGACTTGGAGGTTCTCTTGTTCAACTCAGTCCCGCTTCCTTTAGCACTCTCAAAATGGTCGAACTCGAGCCTGTTTATTTCTCCGACTAGCTTATTGTCTTCTTTGCTGAGGCGCCTCTCACCACCACTTGACCTCGTCTCGACTGCTCTTACGACTTCTATTTTCTTTGCGCTCTCTTCCTTCTGAGGGCTTTTACCGATCTCCTTGGGAGGAGGTGGTCGGTTCTCTTTCTTTTCTTGTTTATCATCGACTCTCTCCTTGTCTTTTTCTTTTTCCTTCTCTTTACTGCTTTTTTCTTTTGGTTTTTCCATCAATCGACTGTAATCTTTGCTCTCACGGCTCCCAGACTTCTCTTTGAATTCTTCTTTATCTCTGCTCGACATTCCAGGTGGATTTGGAGCTGTGGATTTATTATGTTTACGTGACCTTACTGCTGGTTTTGGACTTCCGTGAGGAGGGCTGAAATAAATATTTCAAAATTAAAAATAATTTATTAAATGATAATGGATTTTAAAATAATAAAAGCAACACTTTATAATATTTTAAAAAAACATTTTTTTCTAAACTAAAGGAAGAATAGCAAAAGATTAAAAAAATCTTTTTACAATCTCAGTTAATCAAGAATCAGAGTCCACAATCCTATGGTCATGAGTATCATTTCGTCTGCATGATATGTGCACTTGCGAACAAAATTGTGTATGGCTATGTTAACCTATATCAAATCTGCTGTATCTTTGATAACACTCATGAGTTGGAGATAGTTTTTTTGTAGAATATTATATTACTTTTTTAAAAACCTTCCTTTAAATCAAATTTATTTTTCTACCATTTTAAATTTTGTACGGGATGAACTACTCTTAAGTGGCATTAAGTGAGGGAATAATAGGAAATGAATAAGGATGGATTGAGTGGACAATGAATTAGACAAAATGGAGAAATGATATACTCTGGTTGTGATATACTCTCGATAAAATGTTGACAATAGATTAATATTCAATATAGATATAAACTTTTTTATTATCCAGATCAATATAAGAATAGGATATGCCAGTTCTAAAGGAAGAGGAAGCTGTTGATAAGCTATCAACAGTTGGAAAGATATTGGATAATCTTAAGCTAGCGACAGTCGCAATGTGGATTTCACCCAGCTGTACGAGTTCTTTTAATGATCAGGTAACCAACACCCATATATATATACATACGTGTGTATATATATATATATATATATATATATATATATATATATACATGCAAAATGAATTAATCAAAGAACATTTAAATTTATATGAAATAACAAATTTAAAATGGTACTTTTAACTACATTAATACATTAAAAAATATTTATGAATACAATATAAGCCTGAACCAGTTAAATTTTATCATTATTATAGCGATTCGAACGCAATTCCATATTTGAAATGCATTACATAAAATAATTAGATAAATTAAGATAAAATAAAATATTAATAACTAAATAAATTTGAACACTCATTTGATACGAAATATTTTTGAGGTTATAAAAAGTAGTTTAAAGTTTACTATTGCCAATTAATTAAGAAAATCTATTCGATTTATAAAAAGTTGTAGGTTATGATAAGATGATAAGCCATTCACGAAGTTTTATACAGATATTAATGATTTGATAAAAAGGTGTCTGTTCCACAGAATAAATCTAATTTGAATCAGAGTTGGAGAATTGAATTTTTTTTTATTTAAATAAAATGTACTTTACATTATGGGGAACATTTGTAATGATGAAGTTAATAAAAGATTTAAGAGTATTATAAAATGTTTTTAATATTAATATCTGTCTAAAACTTCTTGAATGGCTTATCATCTTATCATAACCTACAACTTTTTCATCAATGAAACTTCTCGGGAATGGGACATTTTCTCATTAAATTAATAAATTTAATGATGAACTAAAAACTAGTGAATAACCATTTGCTTTTCACTTGAAGCATAACATAATTTGATCACAAAATCGAGAAAAAAGGTGGCCAATCAAAATATTGGGATAATTGGCCTGTACAACCACTTAATTTTGACATGTTAAGGGTGAAGAAGTGACGCCATGCCAAACAACCCAATATTTTTTAAGTCACCTTTTTTCTTGATTTTATTTAATCAAATCACGATCCCAACGATTCAACTTGAAATAAAATGGGCATTCATGAGTTTTCAGTACTTCATTAAATATACAAAATATACTCATCTCAATTTAGAAAATGGCACATTTCAGAGAATTTTCATGAATTAAAAAAGTTATAGGAGTCATTAAGATGAAGATGTTCATTCTTCTAGGAGCCTCACTATTAGTTCCCCCAAGATTTTCTACGGACTATATTATTTTAAAATATCCATTTTTTATCTCCTATTACCAGCCTTTTCAAAAATGGATCATTTTGTTACCGTCTCCGTAGTGAATCACAAACAGAAATGAGTGTTGCCAAGTTGACTTCGGCTAGGGGGTGAGAGACCCAAACCCAAACATTAAACTTGGAAACATAGCCAAACTTGTGTAAATGGTTTTCTACATGCTACAAATTAAGGGCCATAGCAATCTCTCGCACTGATAGGGTGGGATTTTGATCAATGATGTTCTTAAAATTGCTCGTTTCAATTTCATATGGGCAACCAGACTGTTGAGCATCACTGATGTCAAAATTTCCTCAATGAAATTTAGTAAACCGTGCGTTCGGTTAAGGCATCATCTCCATAAACCCAGCACGCTTACCTTTTTTAAAATAATACAATAAAATATGTTGATAATGAATGATATTTTCTTCCATATTCACAGTGCAATAGCAAACAAAATACTAAGCTAGTTTCAACAAAAGTTTAGAGATATAGTTGTTGACATATTACAAACAAGATAAACAATCCACGTTACGGATTAATTCATTAGATAAGAAGTGTATCATACTGACATAAAAATAAACAGAAAAACCGAAAGGACTTATTTGCCAACCCAATAAATAAATACATTTATAATTTTGGAATAGTTAATAGTTAGCTGTTGTATTATTAAGGAAGGAGATGGTGTGCGCATAAATAGAGGCAAAACTATTTTATTAAAAGCCAACGTTTCAACCCGACTTTGCAGGTCTTCTTCAGGGCTAGAACGGACAAGATACAAAATTGTGGAAGTTACATAATATTTAGATAAAAATTATAAACAATGTGAATAAACTTATTGAAATTATAAACAATAAGTACATTAAACTATTAAGAACAATAAGCTATAAAAACAGAATAAGCTAAGTAAAAAGATCCTAAACTGAAGTAAACAGATGATAACAATTGTTGTAGTATAATATAAAATATAATATATGCAATTGTGAATATACTCCCACAGATTTCAGAAGAGATTGGAAGAAAAGGATGTTCCTTTAAATTATAAAGATTTCAATAAGTTTATTCACATTGTTTATAATTTTTATCTAAATATTATGTGGCTTCCATAATTCTCTATATCTTTTTTTATCTTGTCCATTCTAACCCTGAAGAAGACCTGTAAAGTCGGGTCGAAACGTTGGCTTTTAATGAAATAGTTTTGCCACTATTTAGCCTATTTATGATCGCCACCCCGGCCATCTCCTTCCTTATTTATAAATTCAATAACTCAAATATAAGAGTTTATATACAAATGTTACCAAAAACTATTACAAATTTCTATAAAAAATCATATTTTGGCATTAAGACAACTCAATGATATTAATAGCATCAATCTCTAAAACTAAAACTTATCTACTTGAAGTGACGTCAATGTCTAAAGAGTTATAACATGGAATTGAAAAGACAATTCATGTAACGTTTTCTTTATTTTAATATACCTGTGAGGATTTAAGTCAATGGCTATAGAAAAAAAGCACAATACTTATTTCCCATTTCACAGGATCTATCCATATGATTGTTATTATTAATTTCACTGAATAAAAATTCATGAAACCACATTGAGTAAACCAATAACATTAACCTAATAAAAAAAGTCACAGATAAAAACGTTATAAACATTGAAATTTAACTAAAAAGTTAGATATGATAATAATCTCTTGACCTTTTTTTTGTGTGTGTTTTGGAGAATTACAATAAATTGTAAAGAAAAAAACTAATTTAAAATGAATAGTAACTGGAACCAACAAGTTATTGTTTAAGAAAGCTTGTACGTAATATAGGGTGACTCTTTTATTTTGACAAAGTTCAAATCTACATTTAATATTATAATTGTGGAAGGTCAAAAAATTTGTGAGCTCACAATCGAAAATTTCCATACAATTTTAACTTATATCAGAGAAAAAAATTGGTTCAGTGTTTTTCTTTCAATAAACAAATTCACATTACAGAGAGGTGACCCACTACTGTTAATCAGATTTTGATCAAATTTGAAAGGACTGTACGGGGTGGGTATGTAGAAGGTCCCATATCAAATTCATCAAATTCCACCCAATAGTCCTTTCGGATGCACAAATGCATTATGTTATGCCTGTGCATTAAAAATGTTGCGTTTCATTAAGCTCAAAATTAAGTTAGGGATTGGTGAAAAAATGACAGCATCAATTTCATCAAATTCCATTCCCTATTTTCACTCACGAATGTACAAATGTGGTTTCCTCTCTGCACCTATATTTCAAAAATGGCTCTTTTGATTAGCCTGTAGTGGACGTTCATGCAGTTCACACATCCGCTACAAGACTGCGGCACCACCAAACGCTCACATCAGAAGATGAATTATATGTTTTACTTTTGTATATATATTACTTTTTAAAATATATATTTTTTATAGTTAAATCTGTACTTTAAAAGTATGTTTATTTTATTAAATAAAGTTGAAGGTATATAGAATCAACTCATCAAAAAATAATATCAGAATAATCAAGTAAGACTCTCTTTACCCATCTTTTGCAAGAAGGAATAATCCTCCTAGCCCTCAGGCTTTGAAAACAGAGACTCCGTCCTAGCAGTTACATCAGTATGTGATTTATACACGCTTTTTGGTTTTATATTTAACATTAACAGCATTTTCTTTTATTATGTCCTATCATCTTTTTCCAATTCTCACAGTCCGGATGGTGATCCATCTACTTGTACTCTCACATACTAAGTAGAGAGGTTCATCCCTCCGCTAGTACTTCATCCACCCATAAAGTCAGAAGATTGATTCCTCCGTTTGTGGCTTCCATTCCTGCGGAGTGTTAAGATTGATCCGCAGACCAAAAGCGATTTGGGTGCTGATCCGACTGACACTTGAGGTCATTCCGTCTACTCATCTTCCTTCATCCACTTAGTCATTTTATCCCCGCATTGTACTATGCTCTGTCGAGGCCTTCTGGTAACTGTATTAACTGTATAATATCTCCTCAAGCCCCAAAGTTGAAGTAAATTGAGGGATGATGTACAAATGGTCTGATATCAAATTCCATTTTAATATCAATTTAAATAAAAGTAATTATTAAGAATATAATTGCATGAAGAATATGGTGGACAGTAAAAATATGGCTATAGGAGATTATGTGAGTTTGTAAACTCAATTTGATTTGTTAGACATTTATATATTGGATTATTCTGTTCAGTATTAAATAGAATTATAAACGTAGAGAGTATTTTCTTACAAATAATTTATATTATAAATTTCTGCCAAATAAACTGGTGAAGAAGCTATACTGCTTTATGTGAGAGAAGTTTTTAAATCAATTAATAGATATTTTAGAATAAAAATATTGATCACTATAATAGAAATACTATAGCATCTTTTCGAAGAATTTAACACTCATAATATTAGGTTGTTACAAAAAGTCCTTGAGCATAAATATTCTTGATTTCATATTACATATTTTAAACGTTACTGAATACTACTCTTCTAAGTAAAGTTTATTGTTTTTAACTACTTTCACACATCTTTCTGCCCGTAATTGGATTTGATGCCAATACCACTGCTATGGTTTTGAGGCAAAGAACTCTTCACATCCCATTTTCATGCCTGCGTAACTATCAAGTATCTGACCTTTAAAAAATAAACAGCTACTGATCTAAACAAACCATAATCTGATGTATCTAATATCTGGGCTATATACAGGATGAGGTAAAATGTTTACTCCGTGCAGTTCAGACAAATTTCCTTTGATCAAACGAGAACGATGTGCAGAAGTCATGTTGCAAAATAGCTTGGTTCCTGCTGACCAAGGGATACTTGGATTCAGAACTGCATAAACTCTGCCGAGCTGTTCACGGTGAAGGTTTGAGATCACTGCCGAAACATCAGGAACAAACTCAAAATGCAAAACGCCACCTAAATTGTTACTGAAATACCTGAACCAAAGTGCGGTGGGAGTATTCCGACGGATAACTGACTCTCCTTACTCTCCTGACTTTTATTAAATTAATTATTAATTTAATAATTAATATCTTTTTTTTTTTTTGGCTTCAAGACTTGTAAAAGCAAGTCCTATTTTTCCAATAAAATATTTTAATTGTCATTGTAAGATGAAATTACATTGGATATTTATTGAATATTTCTAGAGAGGTTATTACTGAATGTAACTTATGTAGAACTTAAACTAAAAAGAGTAATAGTTAAAAACTGAGGTTGAAGTAGTTTCATAACAATTAAATGACAATATCTATATCTATTAATCAAATTCTGATTGTTTTATTTGTTTATTGTTGATTAATTCCCTCATATACTGCAACTAGAGCAGGAAGTGTAGGTTATAATTATAGGTTACAGTAACTACTCAAGACAGCAAGAGAATATTGACTAATAAATCACATAATTTAAATGTGACTTACCTAGCTCAATAAATTTAATTTTTATTTTTTAACTACAGGTTTCCATCGTTCCTAATCAAAATTAAAAAATGGTCAAAGGGAATGAAACTTCAAATTAACTCATTTAAATTTATAAGACTACTGCCAAAACCGTCCAAACCAACTTTATAAAAATTATAATTATATCTCACCTGTTATGGTCGGAGAGGCTATCGTTCGATTGGGTCCGCTTCATTGTTTTGTCTTCCATCAACTGAGACGGTGGATCCCCGCTCATACCATGCCCGTTTAGATATCTCTGTCCTACCTCCTTTATCAGGGTCACGTAGAAGTCCACCTCTGAAACCCATGTTATATCATTACACTGAGAATTTTATGATAAAAATAAAATAAAAAATACATAACTAACAATATCCCTATTCAATTTCGTGCAGCATATTTTAAAGCCATTCACTCAATGATCTGTTTTGAGATAGTTCATTCATTGATCTGTTTTGAAACCATTCACTCATTGGTCTGTTTTAAGACAGTTCATTCATTGATCTGTTTTGAAACCATTCACTCATTGGTCTGTTTTAAGACAGTTCATTCATTGATCAGTTTTGAAACCATTCACTCATTCACTATTATGCAAAGTATATAATATACTTATAAAGTATATAATATACTTATAAAGTATATAAAGTAAGTAGGTTAAATGTTCAAACATCATAAAAGAAAAATACTTACCGTCGGGGAAAAACCAATCGGAGTAAGAAATTAAAGTCTCAACAATACCAGTATGGTAATTTGCAGTTGTCATGTTGTGACTGAAAAAAATAAAAACAATAATATGTAATTAAAAATTAAATGGAAAAATAAATTTATTCTGGGACCATGTCCCTTAAGAATAACAAAATGGTACAGAAATGAAAGGATTACTTCTGGCCAGATCTGTTACAAGTTTTTAGTGTATGTCATATTATATTTTATTTTAGTGTTAGGAACGTATGAGGTTACAGAAGCTCTCCTCTATAATTAACACTAATTAAACAGCTGTTCATTTAAGTACATATTTGTTGAGCTCTTGTTACCTAATACTCTCCTAATATAAAATAAACATAGACTAAAAATTTGTAGGAGAAACGTAATTTATTCATCTGGAGGAGGTAGTTTGATTTTACCCAAGTGACAGCAGTTATTTTTCAATCTAAACATTTCTCCTTGACTACAATATATTAATTATTATATTATATATAATATCATTTATATTATATTGTGATATAATTATAATTGTAATGAAATAGAAAAGGAAGCACAACATAACGAACAATGGAAATATTAGAAATGAGATGCTTAAATTATTGTTGGGATTATATGGAATACATATTATAGTTACAGATTGGCAATAAGGCGTGATATATAAGGGTCAAAGGGAACGAGATTGCTAACACGTTAGCAAAAGAGGATTCACAAAATGATCTACCTTTGTTATATGATAAAACCTCACTATGTTATATAAAATATGAGATCAGAAAAAATTCAATTTTAAGTAGGAACGAACAATGGATTCTCTCAGAAAAATCACCCAGTTTGCATAAATTTATTCCAGAATTAACAAAAAGCAACTATAACTTACTAAAATCTATACATATTTTAACTGAATACTGACAGACCAAATCATACTTAAAAAGATTCAATTTAATTAGTGAGGATACTTGCTCTCTAAACGAACAAGAACTAACATTTAAACAAACAATTTATGACTATCAATTATACGAACGGCATGGATCTAAATTTATTATGACTACATTTTTAAAAGGAAAAAAACTGGCCAATATCAGAATTAGACTTGTACAATAACTTTCGACAAGACCTCATAAAATTTATCAATAGTCTAGACTATGACCAATTAACAAAAACTGAGTAAACGGTAAGGAGATAAGGTCACACATAATTTTTTATAATACATTAATTTATATAGAAAATGTACGATTATATTTATTTGCTTTATAACTTTTGTAATTTTAAGAAACTATGTTCATTGATTATAGTATTTTTTTCTTATTTATATTTATTTTAGTTATGCTTATACTAAGTATTATGTTTAAATTGAATTATTTTCTGATTAGCTGCTAATGTTAATGTTATTTGATAAAATGTTATATTTAAGGTGCATAATATACATTTGTATGGAATTGTACCATTTAAAAACAAAAAAGGTGGGATGTATAACATAGATTTTTGAATAAATTAAAAAGTTGGTCCGAACTGTGTTTTGTTCAGTTAAACTTTTTGATGTTGATAAAAAATAAAACTACAGAATACATTTAAATTAAATTTATACAATTCGAGCGAGTGGTATAATTAAAAAAACAGTTGTATAATTTGTAAAAGGGCTGGTCTGCCATTAGGCGGACAGGTGATACCTTCCTAGTTAAATAAATTACAAAAAAGTTAGAGAGTAAATTAACAGCACATACGGTAAATATAGCAGTAATTGACACCGCAATAGTAATTGATGAGTTTTCAACTCATCATCTAATAATAAGTTATATGGCCAATAGAGAGTGCAAATATAAGTAGATTTGCCGCTTTAACAATTAGGAAGGTGATACATTAACCTCAAGTGATATCAGGCCATAACAGCTGATCGCCAGCTGATTTTGTAAAGGAGCAAGGCTGGGTCTTTCTTTCAGGGAGCTTTCCTTATCACTTTTCTTTAGGAGATGAGTTTGAAATTTTCATTCATCCATCAGTAGTTTGCCATTTCTTAGTTTAAAACTGCGCAACATATATTTAGCGTTCCATAGTTATATAAAGAAACTAAGGGATGTCTGCTTTAGACCACGCGATAGAAGTGAAAACATCAACAAGGTGGGATTTGTAATATGAAATATTAATTATAAATAATAGCTCATTATAGAGAGGATGAAATGCTGAACAATTCTCTTCCTTATTGTATGCAGGTCCGATTTTTAGCTTCTGAGATATTTTAATCCATATCTTCCATAAAACCATTTAATTTGGTATAGAAAAAGTAATTCTATAGACTAAATTTGCTGACCATTACACTTATTTGCAAAGATTTACCATCATAACTAAAGCTATGGTTCACATTAATTCACACACAGACACAGATCATTCTGCGAGACTTGGTTATTTGGACTCAGGGACCCTCAAAACATCTATTTCCATTTAAACCGCTATTGAGATTTTGAAAATTTACTACCCCTTACTAATATATATATATATATATATATATATATATATATATATGGTAAATCAAAGTTAAGCAACATCGAGCGTGGTTAGTACTTGGATGGGTGACCTTCCACCAGGGAATGCCATGTTACCCGAGTCCTCCTCCCCCCGGGTATGTGAGGCCCGTCAGCCTACTGGAGGCAACTCACACCGACCGGGCTTAGGACTGATGACCCTACTTCATGTACTTAAATCGGGAATTGGGATGTGGTTTACCAGGATGTTAATAGCCCCCCTGAGGTTCGGTCCATGGACGGTCTGTTTCGGGGAATGAAATATAGGTCCTCCTGCGCCTGCTGACTCCGAGCAGCCATAATCCATAGATCTAGACCGGTTTGTCACTGTCCTTGAACCCGAGAAAGTCGGTGGGAAGGACATTGCCAGATTGGCCCCAAAGGGATCGGCTATGGAGCTAACATGAGGTTGGGTGACCCCCTCCAGGCTATCTGAGCTCCCGCAAGTATCACACGTCTGTAAGGAGACCACATCTCGCAGCCAAAGATGTTCTTGGTCTGTAGCGCCAAACAAAAAAAAAATATATATATATAAAACCTGTACCACTATAACCCATGAAGGTTCAGGTTTCAGTACTATTTAGAGACAGTACAGTTTCTTAGTGAACGGTTGTGCAAGGAGGTGATTTGACTGAGATCACACTCAACCACCATGTTTTTCCCCTTAATAAATTATTTAATTAAAGTTACTCACATTATAGAGGCTGGGTGTGCCCCAGGAGGGTCTCGTGATCCAAGGGTCACCCCACGGTAGGGATGGGTCAATGGAACTGGATCGGGAACGGGAACTTAATCTCACTGTGGAACGGAACGGAACTGTTCCAACGACTGAGAATTATCGATACCGCCGGTTCGATAAGGAACAGAGGAACAGTTGGCAAATCGTTCCAGACTTGTTCCAATTCTGTTCCAGCTGGATCGATAAGGAGTGGGGAGGAACAGTTGGCAATTTGTTCCAGACTTGTTCCAATTCTGTTCCAGCTGGATCGATAAGGAGTGGGTAGGCCGGTTAAATAAGGAACGGAGAAATGGCAACTCCTGTTATTTAAATAATTATCTTATTTTAATTATGTCTCACTATTTTAAAAATAAACTTATTTACGAAAATATTAAATAATTCAAGTTCTAAAATGTTTAAAGTCATAAACACCAAAAATTGGTAATCTTAATTATCCTACAAACCCGAGTGCATGAAACTTTTTACATTACTATTTTAACATACAATAGTACATTACCATAAGTAGCATCTACTAACTTTGTTTCGTACATTTTTTTAAAAAGCATTCGTAACAATATACATTATTTTTAAAAATGAAAAAAATATTGTAATTTGTAAAATACTTTGCCTGTAATTATTAATTGACTTAAATTGATTTCTTCTTAATAATTCTGTTTCGAAAGATATAAATGATGTTGCAACGAAGAAGAGAAAACATATAGAAACGAATCCTTTAAAAATTTGTTTATATTATTAAAAATATATTAGAACTTGATACTATTACTTCTACACACAGGACACTGCCAGTGTTTCAACCGCCTCCCGCAGTGCCACATCCAACGCCCTGAAGACGACCTGCAAAGTGGGTCGAAACGTCGGCAAAAATTAAAATTATTTATATATTTTAATTTTTTTATTTTTTTGACCGCACTCTCGACTAATTCCTTCTCATATTACTTCTACAATTTTATGAGAAAAAAAATCGCATTTTTAGACACCAGCATTTATCCTTGTAATTAGTTTTCTTTACTAACGTTACTTTTAGGTTTCTTTTCTTTAATTTTAATTAATTTTATTTGCTTTCTTTAGATTATTTGCAATATGGCTGGAACCATATAATTGGATTTTCAATCTTGTAAAAATTGTATAATTTTAAATGTTTTATTTCATATTTATGTTACATTTCACATAAACGTTAATTTTAAATGTTATATTTTATATTAATTAAATTGAAGCTTATGCAGCATTTTAAAGTAAATGAATAAAGAATAGAGCGCAAATAAATCTTCCTTTAGTCTGTGGTGGAAAGGCGCTGAACTATCGATACTATCACTAATTTTTCATCGATAGTGGAAAACTATCGACTATCTCCCATGCCTAGGTTGTAAATTCTGGAGTAACGGCTTTGTAACGGTATCGATAATTTGGAACAGTTCCATCTGGGGAATGGAACAGGTACACTAAAAATCTGTAACGACCCATCCCTACCCCACGGCTGATGAAACAGAATAAATGATTTTTCTATCATGAGCCAGGATTCGGACCCGGTACGTACCTTGGGCATTGAAAGATCAGTGCCCTATCACTGAGCTACCCCACTCCCTATATTACATAAAAAAATTAGGAAAAATAAATACTTGACACAAAAATTAACTTTACCCAATGTTGCTAGTATCTTCGTTTGGACTCCAAATCAGGTTAGGGGCAATGACTATGGCGATGTTCTGCGGGCTCATTTTGTTTGACTGTTTGTTGCTCGCAAGACTAGATAGGAACTTAATTAAATACTGGAGGTTGTCAAAGTTTGCCTGCGGCAAGCTGTGAAGGACGTTCCAGAATGCGTTCAGTCCTTCTTCCTTGTTCCCCTGGCCCATAATCCTGCACCAATAATAAATATACTAAAATAAAACAGCATTAATATTTTTAAAAAATAGATATAAAGTATAATTTTGAAAACATAAATTACAAAAAAACAAAAAAGGTTTAAATAACAGAAAAAGCAAAATTAATATGAGGATTGTAAGGAAAATACTGTTGAAATGATATGATCTAAATAAATAACTATTATAATTCTAATTAATAATTAATAGTATTATTAAAATTTTAAATTTACACATAACCTGTTTATTTCTTGTCCACAACTTTTTCCACAGTCCCATTGTGGAATAAGTCCCAATTAATTGTAAATTCTTTGCAATTTTGTTAAGGATTAAAATCACTTATGAGGTTGTAAATATAAAAATAAATAAATCCAATTTTAACTCCTTATCTACCAGGAAACAATCAAATGTATCATTTTAATACTAATTAAAGAGGAAAAGATACAATAAAACATATTGTTGGACAGATAACGATGACAGTATGTGTGCTTCATAAGCCTGTACGATAATGACGACAATATTCATCTTATTTATTAAGCAAACACTGATCATTTATAGCACTGTAGATAAAAGAAAGAGATAACACATTCACCGTTAAGAAAGAATGGGAGAAGCTTGAAGGTCAGATTGAATTATGTAAGTGGAGAAAATCATCATTATAAATGTTTTTATTATTCTAATTAAATTTTACCAAAGAGTAAATGAAATTATTTAAATATATAAGAAAAATATTGATGAAATGGACATGAAACATTTGTCCAAAGCACTGGTTGATCCACGGGGGAGGAGAGGGCTTTCGGACGGAAGTCCCCTCAAAATTGAAAAATGAATTTTTTTCATTGGTAAATATTTGATACTATAGAGTAATCTAAAGTAAATACTTTCACCATCACAATATATTATATTTTCTTTTTAAATATAATCCATCTACAGCTATTAAATATAACCAGACATGGGCAAAATGTATTTTAAATATTATTTTAAAATACCATGCATTTTGTGTTTTTAAAATACAATGTATTTCCAATACAAAATGCTTTCTGGTGGAACAACATTATACAGGGTTTTTCAAGGTCAAGTGACCAAACTGAAAATATGAATTAAGGACCTCAAAACAAGAAAAAAAAAACCTATAAAGGTATGTGCGCAAATGCTTTGTTTAGGAGATATTCACACCTAAAGATTTTCATTCTTATGAATTATTTACATTATATTCAGTAGATAAAAATTATTTATTTATTCAAACTACTTTATTAATTAAACATAAACATTAAATTCATATTAAATGTTATTCAAAGTGATTTCCTTGAGCATTAAGACAGACTCGGCACCTTTCTTCAACAGTGGCAGTGGCAGAACGACACTCGATATGTGTTATTGTTTCACAAGATTCAATTATCCTTCTTCATAAGGAATTAGGTCATTGAACAGACTTGCATAGACTTTTTGTTTAATATTCACGACGGGCAGCATTAGCATTACCATTACAAAAACCATATCCCCATATTATTAGTATAAGTGGAAGGCATAATGAGGAGTACTCTGCGAAAGCCTCTTACAAAATGATAAATGTTATTGAGAGTTTCCAATGCTAATACCAAATAGTATTAATTCTTATGATGACAATAGTTTTATACAGTTAGGGATAAAAGGCCATATTAATATTTTATCTAATCAATCTGCTAAGCAAAGCTTTTGCGGACATACCTTCACTTTGAACATTTAATATGAATTTTAATGTTTAGATTTAATTAATAAAGTAGATAGAACAAATAAATAGGTTTTATTTATTTCATATAACGTTAATACTTCATAACAACGAAAATCTTTAGCTGTGAATATCTCCCAAACAAAGCGTTTGCGGACAAACCTTCAGGGGATTTTTTTTTATTGTTTTTGGGTCCTTAGGTTATTTTTGCAGTTTGGCCACTTAACCCTGAAACATCCTGTATAGTACAGGGAACCTACTCATTTGGTGATTTATTTTATGTATTTAAAATTAATTTTTTTATTTTAGTATCTTGGAAATAAAATATAAATACTTTTTTGTATTTTAACATCGTCACAAACTATGTATTTTAAAATACTTTATTTGAAATACTGTCCAACTCTGCTCTATAATATTAAACTAAGTAGTTAATTGTTATTACAATTTATATGAAGCACAATATGTAAATAGAACAACCATTTTAGAAAATTATTTTACTTGAGTTTTCAGAAATCTTTTGTATTATATCATGTTTTATTTCCTTTCAAAACATTTAAGGAGAGAGCAACGGCCCCCTAGCTTAGCTCTGCGTACACCCCCATACTACCGTCTACAGCAATGGAGGATTAACTCTAAATGTCAAGTTTCTTTGATATATGGATATATTTTTTTAAATTATGAACAAAATATGAAATTTAGCAAATTCTTCAAACACAGATTTGTTACAACTGTTGTTATTTGTCTTATAGAGCTCAGTTCACAACTAAAGTATCATTTATAGTAGAAGTTTTTTTTTTCATCATCGTCATTGAAGCTATTGTTTTGCAGAACTTAGGTCTCAATGTAGCCCACGGGCCAAAAAGAAGTTCAGAGACCCCTGCTCTATTATATTCTGTTTCCTTTTCACAATTAAAAATTCATCTCATTTATTATAAACACTAGTTGTTTTATGTGTACTTATAGTTTATTTACATGTACTATAAATTTGCAGACAAGAGGAACGTAGGATATACTTACATGGCGGAAGCCATCCACTGGTCGTACAGTTCATGGGTGAGGAGTGGGTCAGGCAGCTCTCTTAGGTAAGACTTGAGGACCCCCGCGAACACGTGCGGGTCCCTGATCTGCAACGCCGACACAAAGTCCAAGCAGTGCGCATCCAGGCTCAACTTCATGCGTCTCAGTTTCGAAGCACCTGTGGTTATTATAGTCAGGTAACAAGACAAAGTTAAATGATTATTTTCATATAAACATAGCATTTGTCTATCTTTCAAATTTCTAAAATTTGGACTACTTGTCTGTCTTTGTGAACTTTTTCTTCATTATAATTCTGAAAATAATTTCACAAAATTCTTAAACTTTATATTTACATTAATAGAAATTTGGTAAATTTTTAAATATCTATAAATAGGTTGAAACCAAATGTTTTTATTCATGTCAATATATTTCCTCGAGTTGTCAGTTAAAATTAGTTCAGTTATAAATATATATATTCAAATATTTTGAAAGATGCATCTATTACATATGGGCAATTTATCAACGTCTCCAATCTCTAATATTGGTGGAGTGAGTTCAAGAAGAATAAACATAATGAAGATTAAAACGGTAGAGCTAACTCACCACCGCCAGCGTCGATCCTTTAGCTGACCCGAGCATGAAGTTGAATAGGAAGCACTAATTAAAAAAATGTTTAATTTAGGTAAATTAAAATTACCTATTAAAAATCGGCTCAGTATTATCCAAAGAGTTCCAAAATCGAAAAGGGTTGCTGCAAGGATGCTTCATGTCTCCCGCTCTATTTAAAATATACCTTGATGAATGTTGGAAAATGGGCGTCGAGTTAAGAGGAATAAACCTATGCTATTTACTATTTGCTGATGACCAGGTGTTAATTGCATAAGATGAAGAGGATATAACCTACCTATACAGAAAAATAATTTATCATTATGAACAAGGAGGTATCCAAGCAAATTATAAGAAAACTAAATATATGTGCACGTTGAAAGAAGGGAGCACCGACCTAAGTAAAGTGGAACATATTTGTTATTTGGGATCCAATAATAAAGGTATGGTAGAACAAATGACAGAAATTAAGAAAAGGATGAGAATGCTTCACTATTTACTCCGAAGCAGCAATATTTTAATAAAAACAAAAAAGCTAATATACAAAGGTTTGGTAGAAAGCTTAATGCTGAATGGGTCAGAGGCATTGGCCCCTCAGTATGACCCAGGGAAAAAAAAATTCTTTCAGTTGAAACTGATTTTTGAAGGAGAGTAGCTAGGATATCCAGGATCGAAACGGTAAGAAATGCCACTATAAGGGAGAGATTGGAAATACAGCAAAATATCCTAGAGGAATTGGAAGAAAAAAGACTCAGGTGGTTTGGCCATTTGAGACAAATGGGTGACGGTAGGGTACCAAAGATAATTATGGATTGGGAAGCAGAGGATAGCAGGAGGAGACGAAGACCCCCAGTTAGATGGAAGGATAGAGTGGTGGAGAGTATGGCTGGTAGGGGATTGTCGGAGAGGGATGGTGAGAGACCGGCAGAGATAGAGAGAGACTCGCTAAGAAAGAGTTTGGTTGATAAAAACTTCATATTGAAGAAACTCCTAAATAAAAAATACTTGATAGTAAAGAAGACAAAATTTCCTTCAAATGCAAGCAGAGTTTCGTGTTTCTTAACACTATTTGAAGGGAACTTGTAAGCGAAGAACTTGCACTATGTTCAGTTTACATAAAATCATAAGATTATTCCTGATTTTTAAAATTTTTTTATTACCCTCCAATAGGACCATAGATAGCCCACATTTGTCAAAACTTTCGCTTTTAATAAGGTTAAAATCTATACTAATTAAGTTGAGGATTGTTATCGGGTAAGTTAAGATTCATGTCTAGTTGTGGAAAAAGTAATATGCGTTGATATTCTGTCATCCCAGGATGCCTGTTATTTCAGCAAAAACAACAATAAATTATTACAAAGCTGAAAAGTTTTCTTATAAAGTCTGTAACAGACAGACCACTTCATTACGACTTTACATTGCTTAGGTTTTTTTGTTGCTTTTGAGGATTAGAATCATTACTTTAAATATTTCCTATTATTTATGGAACATATGAAGTCAGATTAATGGAAATGATAATTCTTCCTTCAATTTTTTCTATCCGAATAACGAACAACAGTGAACAGAACACTCAAAATGAAGTTACTTTCCAGGCACACCAAAGGGAAAAAAACTTCAATAAAACAACTTGTCAACTTCAATCCTGATTTTATTCAAGAAACACAACCACGTAAAAGAGTATATGAAGTAGTAAATCCAAAGTGAACATTCAACTTCTGTCAAAGAAGGGGCACAAGTTGATCATTGATGTCTCCTCAGAACCTCTCTAGAATCCTGGAATTTGGAGTACTGGAAAGGATGACAAGAAAAATTCTATACTGAATCGGCCTAACAAGATCTAGTTACTTAGCTATGGATTCATGCCAAAACAATGTCATAGATCGAATAATAGCAAGGCACGACAAAGAACCATATTTTGGTGAAGTGGTAAATACAATCATATTTGGTTGAGGATTTGGAAAACATAAAACCTTAAACCTGATTTCCAATGTTGAGGTAAGTACCTGGTGCAACCCTGAAGAGACCTTCCTCCGCGATGCCAAGTTCAAGGAGGCCGCAGACGCACAGCTCAATCGGGTAGGCAATCTTCCTAGAGGTGACCCTCAGGTGGTCTTCAAGGGGTTTTCCGAATACCGGCATCATGTAGCTCTCGTCTGGAACAGTCAATTAACAACAAATATTTAAAATATACAAATAAGGTATAATACATATAATAAAATTGTTGATCAAATTTAAAGTCAAGTAAGTTTTATAAACATTATAATACAGTTATAATAATCAGGGATTCGCTCTCCCCGAGGTCAATGTCGCATGAGCCTCCCCCCCCTCTCTTCCCAGGATATTTTATTGCTCACTTATGACATTTTGCACTAACAGCAGCGATATACAATTACACTTGCAGTGGTTAGTTCCATGTTTTCATGGTTTCAAAAGGGGAATTATATTTCTTAGACAAGGAAATATTACCAAAATGTGGGAATTAATAACAATATTTATATAATTATTATATTTAATCTATATATGATGTAGAGATGGTTGGCCGTGATATAATATGGGAAGGAGTTGCTCGGGGAGGGAGAAGTTCAAATAAATACTAAATTTTTAAAATAGTACTTTAATCGTTACACCGACGTTTCGACCCACTTTGTAGGTCTTCATCAGGGCTACAAAAGATACAAAATAAGAAACAATTGTCTGATAAAGAAATAATAAGAAGACATCAGATATCCTGACAAGATTGCATAAACTTAACCGAAGCATTACAGAAGGATTTATAATTTGTATCCATGAATGAGACGGCCTAAAGCAGACCCTACACGGTAATTCATGAATGAACGTCACAAGAAGTGCCACGATTGCCCGCGATCGCTTTGATCATGAAGACCCTTGCATGTTCAATCATTACTGATCATTACTTATTGTTGCTGATACCAATTTAGCTCAGTTGTAAACAAAGAAACAGCATAGATATGCTTATTTGGACATTGTCATTTATAATATTAGGCATCAAGAGAAAAACGGAGATATAATAATTACTTCCTAGTGCCTGAAAATCGTTTAGACCACAGTTAGAAAAATATAAGTCAACTGCATACAAAAATCTAGGAAAAGTATTGCGAAAATAATCAATTTGTTAAGAAAAATGGAAAAATTAATGGCAAATAAACACAACAGTTAAAGATTTTTTTTCTATAAGTAAATTGTGAAGATTCCACTTTTTTTTCTTCAATTTATTTCCTACTTGACTATTTAAAGAATAAATAGTTGAAAATGGTTAATAATAATATAGACTAGGGATATAAACAACTATTTACTTAATAACGAGACCTAGGTAAACTAACCTATCTAGTAGTAGTCTCATAGAAGGTTAGTCTCATAGAAAATCGTTTTGACAAAAGTTAGTAAAATATAAGTCTACTACTTACAAAAATTAAGGAAAGGTATTGCGAAAATAATAAATTTGTTGAGGGAAATGGGAAAAGAACTGATAAATATACACAACGTTAAATTTTTTTTTTTTTCCTAAAGTAAATTGTGAAGTTTCCTCATTTTTTTTTTTTTTTAATTTGTTGCCCACTTGATTATTTAAAAGAAATAGTTGAAGATGGTTTAAAAATATAAACAAGGGATATGAAAAATTATTTAACTATTTACTTTTAATGAAACTCAGAAATTTATAATGGTTGTGAGGCCTAGGTAACCTAACCTATCCAGCAGTATGGTTAGTCTCCCCACTACTTTTACCTCAGCCCCCCCTCCACTTCTCGTGAATAAGCCTTTGATTTCCGGATGTTCGGAAATCCACAGCGCACCACCATCAGTACTTCATTCACAACCTTACACGACAATTCGGAACGTTATTAGTGCAATTCCGATTGACCGTGTAGGGTCCCCTTAAGATGTCAAAAATTATTATTATTACAAGTTCCTGCGATCAGAATTAAATAAAACTTCCAGGGATACTATTTTTCAATATTTACTAGCCAATCGATTTAAAAAAAATAAAAATAAATAAAACTAATGAAATGGCACAGTATTAGAAATGGGTGTCTATTACTATTTGTAGTGCTTAAATGCTGTCCCACGAATGGACATCCAAATTCAGGGTTTAATAGATTAATTTATATAATTCAAAACAATGGAAATAAAATCAACACTGTTTTTTAATTAGGAAATGTAAAAGTTCCTTTTAATAAATTAAACTTATTCCAAATTATGCACACAATTTCCAGATAAGGAAGTCTCTATGTGACAAACATCCAGTCTTGTTTTATTAAAAAATGGACTGCCAAGCAGCCATTAGAGCACGAACTAAGCATTTATTCAGATATCACCTTTTTTAGTGTGTCAGCTAAAAACCTATTTGTGCTTAAAATCTCTTAAGTGCGTAAAAAGTTCATTAATTCAAAAGTGCCTACTACTGGTTCAGTGTCTATTATTGGTACATTTACCTCAAATAAATATTCATTTCTAAGTGAAACTCCTAGCTGAACACACCTCCCTGAAGAAGACCTGCAAAGTCGGGTCGAAACGTCGGCTTTTAATAAAAATAGTTTTACCACTATTTAGCCTATTTATGATCGCCACCCCAGACCATCTCCTTCCTTTAAATAAATACATTTTGCCTAAAATCTTGATTTTAACGTAAGAAAGAAAAAATATATTACATATTATAAAGATTAATTTTAGAAAATATGTACAGTAAAAAATTGTTTTCCTGTTTTATAGAAATAAAAAAATAGCTGCCAACCAATAATTCTTGACTAGCAAAAAAAAAAGTTTTTCTTTTGTTAGGATGAAATTGAAAAGTAAAATTTAAAAAATAAAATGTGGACAGATAGTGTAAAATAAATGTATGTAATAAATATGTTTGAATAAGACGAAAAATGTTAAAATAATTTTTAAACGTATAAAAAATGTTGTAGCGTAAAATAATAGACTGTGAGATAAAAAATCTAGTGTGTCCACTCACACGACTTTCCTACTTATTTCAGAAAAGTTTTTATATCTTAAATATGTTCATTAAGAAACAAAAAAAACAAACAAATTGAATTAGATTTATTTTCCTGAAAATTGATCAAAGATATGATTTAAGTATGATTTCTTAGATAAACTAAAGCAATGTAAACTGGCTTGTGGAAGATCAGCATAAAAAATTCAATACACTCTAATATTGTTAATCAAAAACTTTTTTACCTTAGCCCAATTTTGTCAAACAATAATTTCTGTTATAAGACGAGAGAAAACTTGTGTGGTGCAGGCAACAGATTTTCTAACTTTCACTTACTTTTCTTTTTTTTCTCTCATTCACCGCTTAGACCCGTATTCTTACATAGGAAATTGAATAGCTGTAACTCAGTTAAGTTGTCCGAAATGAACAATTTTTTACATAATTTTGTAGAGAATTTCGTTACCTTTCAAAAATACAAACTAAACATTTCACTCAGGGGACTCTGAAATGTATTGATCCGTCAAAAACCGCAAATCGGAAATTTGACCTGATCTCAATACTTTCCTTACTTAGTAAGTAGGAAAGTAAAAAGGGGTTTTAGTACAAACATAATCATATATAGATTAAAGAGAAAAGCACAATAAAATTGTGTGGCTGCTCAACTGTGTTGAGTTGCTAAATCACTCAGCAAACTGATCAGTCCTAATTGATACCATTTAATAAAAGAGAACAAATAGGGTAAAGTATTACGGGATCATCATCAAACGTACCCAATGTTATAATTTATTCATTCACTGTTAGAACTTTCAACTTGTTTTCTTCGCTCCCACTTTTGTCCGCCGAGTCCAGAACAAATTACCCAGAATGAATTAATTAATACAGTTGGCGGTGAAGGATCTCTAATGAGCCTAAAATAATAGACCCTGCCATACTCTGCAGATGGCTCCTTTCCACACCAGACGATTCCCTTCAAAAATTCAGCAGTTGAAGGTGGAATCGCTCATCTACTCCCAAACAATAGTATCGAAACCGAATATTCTCTCTCACTGAATTTTTCCTGTACATAGGGTACGCATTTTTCATAGATTTCCTCATTTCCTTTTTATAATTTGAGATCTTGATCCTCATCGTTTGTTTCAAATCTAATTGTAGGATTAACTATCAGAGCCTCACTATTACTACCACCACTACCACATTCACTATCTAATGATAAAATTTGCAAGATTTATATCAAAGCAGTTTACTCACTAATAGCTTCTTCCATTTCAGGAATAATCTCATCTAAAATCTTGGTAGCAGTAATGTGGTAATTTTTTTGCAGTCTTGCATATTCTAGAAATGTTGAAGATAGGTCGGCCTCCCTGGCTATCAGCTGAAGCATTTCGCAAGCTAACGCATCCTAAAAATAAAATAAAAAGTTAATCAAAATTTTTGAATACAATAAATAAGCTCTTTAATATTTTGTGTGATTTATTTTAGAACCAGATTCAAGTTGCACCATTTTGATTGATTGATAAGGAACAGAGAGGCTGAGCGGATAAGATAAAGGAGTGCTATATAGATAGGTGTCAACGTTATTAAGTACACAGGACCCTCGCTAAAATGCCAAGGAGAAATGAAACTACTCGCATTATAACAGAGGTGATGAAACGTAAACCATTGCAAGTAATGTATAAAGGATGGTCAAAAAGGGTTAGTGCTATTCAGAAGTTAAATAAATACAATAATTTCTATAAATAATTTATTTATTAAAACTATGGTCAAAGACATAATATTGCCTAAATGGCATCTGCTACACTTATCTGTTCTCTTAGTCTTATATAAAGAAAGAAAAATAAATTTCATTCTGGGACATTTAGTCCCGTTAGAATAATTATAATGAACAAAAAGATGAAAATTGTCTGGCATTATATAAAAATAAAAAAATAAGAAAAATTTAGCTAACATAATATAATAATCTAACCTTATAATTAAAATTAATTAAGTACGAGTAAGCATAATGATTTATATATAAATATAAATGAGTGTGTTCCCATAGCACTGTGATGCACATAAGGCTCGTCACTCAAAACAGTAAAAAGATAAGAATTAGCCACTTAATAGAGGCTAGGTGTGCCCTAGAATGGTCTAATCCTAATACCAGAGTCGATCAACATCTGATGTAACAGAATAATTGGCTAAAACAGCTAGATTAGATTCCTGGCCTTGGGAGTTTAGGAGAACAATGTCTTACTCACTGAGCTACCCTAATCTTACAGATGAGAAAACGGGGTGAAAAATAAAGATGTGACGATAACAGAACAAAATCACAATAACGTCAATATTGTACTTGATTTCTTAAATTGTGTTGCTGAACAGTTTGGCGAAACAAAAATAAAATTATAAAGTATAACATATCATCATGGGTTGGGAGACGTGACCATGCCTAAATGTGCATTATATTTGAATCCATAATATAACGAGCCACATTATAATGAAGGTCCATCCAAATGCATATAAAAGATACGAAATTCCTATGAATTAATTAAAGAATATAATTTGAAAAGAGGTGAAAGCGCTACGATACTTAAATATCCTTAATCCTTACCCTACACTGCTCAACCTTCGCCTCCGCTTCCTCCAGCTCGTCCTTAATGGAGTCCGCTTTAGAGCCAGTGTTCCCGGTACCACTATGTTTCGCTGTGGCCTGTTGGTATCTAAATAAATTAGAACATTTTAAAATTAAAAGAAGATATAAAAAGTAATAGTGCAAACAAAAAAATTAAATTAGAAAACATTAATGATCTAGTGAACTTAATAAGTTTGAAGGAATTAATATAGAATAAGTAAAAGGATCATTATTTAACAAATGAGGATTCGTAAGGAAAAATTATCAATATCAATTTTGGTTTTTTTAATGTATATAATATATATTGAGATACTAATGCCTTGCCATTTTGTGGCTTGTTACAATAGGAATCAATTTCATAAAGAAACGTCAGTCTGCTAAAAAATGAAGGAAAAACTGATTTAGTTCCATGAGATAAAATCCCAGGATCATGGATCACACACTCTGCAAAAACAGGTAATCAGCAATTGATACAGCTTACCGGCTACGATTGAAAGGTTAAATTCAATCTTTGAATAAAATTACAAACATATACCTAGTTAGTTACATACATACACCTAACCTAGTTCTGCCGTAAATACTGTTACAAAAGTTGAACCTTGTTTACACCCTTGTTTATTATTTTGATAATCCTCACCTCTATCAGGTTAGGTTATTTTCTTTACATTAGTTTGTATTTTTCTTCTGCTCAGTTAACATGGAATGGGGTGATAAAGAAAACCGAATAGCTGTGATCGCTTTACACAAAGTTGAAAAATGTTGGTCAGAGATTTTCAACACTTTGAAATCTTTGGGTATCAGCCGAAGGTTCATGCACTGCACTATAAATAGATATAATGAGATCCTATCTATATGTTGCAGACCTCGACTGGCCATCCCCGCACTATGAGAATGGCAAGTGCAGTGAAAGCAGTGGCTGCTTGAATCAGAAGAAATTCCATTCGAAAACAACAGATCATGTCTCGGAAAATGGGAATCTTTGTCAGATCAATGTCTCGCATGGTAAAAGGTGATCTTAGGAGGACAATATTTACGACAGGACTAGGTATGGGTATGGGTATAGAGAATATCAGCAATTTTATTACCAAACGAAAAAAAATTACCAATTATAGGACTCTCAACCGACCTGTAAGGTATCATGGCTTGGAAACATGAACTACAACCAGAACTGAAGAGCAACTCCTCACATTTGAAAGAAAAGTATTATGATAAATTTATGGTGTTGTGTATCAGAAAAATAAATTTTTCTATCAATGTCAAAGCATTTCTTATGAAGTGGTACCAGTTAAACTGTTCCATTGCCAAAGATCTAAGCCAAGACTTAGGCCTTCATCGTTTGTCAACTCTTTTCCACTCAAAAAGTCCTTTATTTTCATGCAATAGTAATGGTACTGGAGAGGAACAAGTCTGGCAATGGAAACATTTGAATTTTTTTTCCAAAACTGCGCAAAGACTACATGAGGTTAATTTCTCAGGACTGCCAAGAAATAAATATTAACTGACCCAGAAATGAATCTAACTCAATACTTAATTCTAAATTAGCCACTCTGGGACCATGGCTGTCGTACTACTGAAACCCTCTTAGTTTTGTATAAACTTAACATATTTCAAAATTAATATCACCTTTTTTTTTTTTTACTAAATATGAGACGAGAGATGGACTTACCTGGCTCTCGCAGAATCCATATCGAGGATGAGCTTGCTAAGGTTCCTTTTTAATTTCATAATGTTTGGGTAATCGTTATCGCAAACATTAATTAAAGGGCCTACTACTTTCGATTCTACTTTGATTTCATGTTCTACAATAGCGTTGGCGAGGCATAACTGCAGCTTTCCACAGTCGGTAACTACTTGTCTACAAAAAAACAACAACATAAAATTAAAATTGTAAACTTATATCAGTAAAGAATGAAAAATATCTAACAATAACATAAAAACAAAATGTTTGCTAAATTATTTAATTATCCAATGATATATATTTAATTTTTTTTTCTTTTCCTGTTGATATTATAGGCCTTGTAGACCTTTTGCCGCCTTAACAAGCCTTCTCCATCTTAGCCTATTTGTTTCCAGTTATCTGCACGCAGCTCTATTGTATCTTTGTTGATTCGATCTATCCAACTGCTTTTTGGGCTCCCACATGATATCTTGACTTGAGGCATTTACTGTTGTATAAAGACTTCATGATGGGCATTCCCCGCCCGTCTTAAACTCCTTGCCTTCATATCAAGATACGTTAATTGACCAGTTTCTGTTAGCGATTCCTTTATTGATCCTTCTCCACCATGCATTAGTACTCTGATCCCAGATCGCTCTGCATAACGTGTGGAGGGTTTTTCTCTCAAATCTTTCAACGATTCTTTCTGGAGTGTTGGTTAGTGACCAGGTCTCACAGCCATATATCAGATATGGCTTTATCATACACCCTTAATTTGAGATTTCTACAGATTTTTCAGAATTTCAATACCTTTGAATAAGAAAAGAAAGTATTTTTGCACCTATTATTAGCTGGTCTATTTCCAACCGTTGGTCATTCATTGAGGTTATTATGGAGTCGAGGTATTTCAATTTTCCTACAACAGAAATGATTTACTTTCTATGGAGAACTTGTTGTTAGGGTGAAATTGGTGGCTTATTATAATTTATTCTGTTTTATCTTCACGCTCTGCATCTCTTATCAGAGTCTTACCGAGTCTCTCAACGCCCTCTTTATCCAAAGATATCATGATATGTTAAAAGAAATTTCAAGAGTAAAACAGGCCACAAAAATATAATCCATAAGCTACTGCTAATGAAAAAATATATACAAATGTTTCATGCTTTTATGTGAGACAGATTAGAGCATTTATTCCTGCAAGAATCACAAAAATAATTTAATACCAAAATAATTTTTATCATGTTATATCACAAAAGATAGAAATAAAAACTGCCATTTTTAAGTATTTTATATTTATATAAGAAACATTTAATTTTCTAAATACAATACAATGTGACTGCTATGGGCCCAAAAATAGAGAGATAGAAAATAATTTTATTTCTCCTCGAAAAAAATATGATAGATAAAGGAACAAAGGTTAATTAGCTATAACCTATACAATGGCATTAAAAAAAATATGTCAACAAAGCTCTTAATTAAGATATTGATTTCACGGAAATAATTAACCTTTCAAACTTGAATTAATTTTAATATTCAGACATTTTGAACTTTCCTGATCTTTCTCATTATTTATTTTTTTCATAACAATTTTATTATTAAGATGATTTAATTTATTTCAGTAATTGAAAACTTTGTAACAATTAATATATAAACTTAAGGGATCGGCAATAAAACTATAAATTATTGAATATATATCTTACATTAATATATATATACATATATATATATATATATATATATATATATATAATATATATATATATATATATATACATATATATATATATATATATTTAACATACACTTTTACATCTTAAAAAAATCCTTATTACCTAAGTAAATGGTCATCTTCACTTCCAACATTTTCCAGCATTGAATTGCCAAGAAGGTGTTCAGGAGTTTTTTTCTAAAAAATAAATATATACACAAAATTAATTAAACAAATACAAAAAAAAGGTACATCATGTATTATATATTACATTATATTTCAGATATATCAATGGCTAAGAGGTGATCACTCGTACTAAGTTGATTTCATGTTTAGACTTCATTAATATGATCAAACTAAACGTCATTGACTGGAAATCTAAGTAATAAATAAATTTTTATCGATCTACTGTCATAATAGTAATATTTTAAGATGGGTAAACTACAGAATTAAATTAGGTATATGACAAAAAATACAATATATTTATTTGATCAGAGTGCTACCAGTGGGTAATTTCTCAACAAACGTCTTCATGTGATTATATTCCCATATACACATTTACTAGATGTAATTTTTATTTTGATTCCGTTGTAAATATCATGAATAAATAAATAAAGTATATTTAGCACACAGGTGTAGCACAAAGGCCTGGGTTATCAGGCTGTCAAATCTTTCAAAAGTGTCCAAATGTCGTGGTAATCCCATCTGAGATAATCGTGGTATTCGTTTATCTAACACTTACTGTCCTGCTACCTTTGTGTTATACTTTTAGATTTTCTTTGATATTTTTGGTGGTTGCGATTGAATTGAAGGTTTTAATTAAAATGTCATGTGTGTGGAAGGAAAAAGAACATTAGCACTAAGAAAACATGTTCCAAGAATAAAAAATACACTTGCAAAGCCCATCTTGTAATACAGCCCATGAGCATTTCTTGTCATCGGAAAGAAGAATTTGATTAAGATTAATTTTAATAAGTGATTAATTTGTTGCTTTTAATATTTTAGTTTTTATAGTTTTAACTTATGTTTCATGTTATCAAGTAAACATAATTTACATTTATTGTCTGATGTATAATATTAAATTAAAATTCATAAAATATTTTTATATTTATTTTATTTAATATGCCCTGCCTTATATTGAATACACAAAAATAAAAAATAAATTTGTTGTTTCTATATCATAAAATTGAATTAAAAACAATAGAAAAAAATCTGTTGGGCGCAAATACAACTTTTACTTACCGCTATACTTTGAATAGAAATCATTTTCTGGGCAATTATAAAATTTTTGAAGTTCAATTTTAACAGAGCAAAAACTTAACGCTTACAGCTAACAAAACATTAATACTATTAAAATAACAAAAATTCAATTTATTATATCAAGAGTTGATTATGGATTGCACGATCCGTTGATTATTATTTTCCATTGCAAAGTTTACTAAATTGGAATTACGATATTTGTATTTCCTGTCATACCTAGGTCAAAAGACTCTATATTCAAGTTTCAATATATTTTAATTACTACTGGATTAATCAGTGATTTTTTTAAATATGCTCCACAAATACGGAATTTCTAAATTTATTTTTTTTTTAAATATTGGTTTTGATATTACAATGAGAATAGAAAGTATACTTTTAATGACGATTACCATTCACTTTGGAAATAAACTATCTTAAATGATAGATAAATTATAATATTTCACATATTATCATGTTTTCCCTTTATATACTTTAATTTATGTTACTTAATCTAACATAATGTTATTTTCATTCATATCATTATACTTTTATATCTGTTTTATAATTTTATAATATTTTCTTCTAATATGTATTTTTGTCTCTTCCTTATTTTTTATCATTATCTTGTCTTCACTTAGTCCTGATGAGAGGCTAAAATGAAGGTTGAAATATCGGCACACAAGAGAATAAAGTTTTTTTGCCTGTACTTTCTATCTTTGACCACACCCAAATCAACTTCTACTGTTTTAACTACAGTTAACAGTATCTCTGTCATTATTTTGGATAATATAATAATTCATTTAATTTGATCAGTAATATTTTAATTATTTGTTTATTTTTATTAGAAACTTTAAGTATTTAAAATGTAATAAGTACTTTTGTAGGGAATTATTTCTGAAAATCCAGATTTTTATTTGAATAAAGTAAAAATCTCCAAGACTATATGGCTAACACGGAAAACTTCTCCACACAAATTATATAATGGAACCACCATACTATGGAAAGGTATGAAATGAAAAAATACATTTATTTTCTTATAACAAGTAATAACTAATCCCAAGAAAGCAATTGATACTTTGGTAGAAAATGTATTGTGCTAAACTGTATGAAATTATAAAAAGTTAATTATTAATAGAACTCAAAGGGCCATTCATTTTATATTGATATTTTTTTCTATATGTTGTTATATATATATATTAATTTATTATTTATATTTAAATTTCCATTATATTATTATAATTATTACTTTCTAGTATTATTTTATAGAACAAATCATTTAATATAAATGTTAGAAGCAATATATATATTTTTTTATGAATTGAAATAAAATAAAACTATCAATTTTTTTTATTGTAATTAAATTTTTATAATAAGTATAGATTGTTAGAGTTATTGAAGTACTTTAAAGCTTTAAAGAAAAATCCTCAGTAGATAAAACAAGAACATCTTAAAATTAGATTTGAATAAACAGTAATTAGAAAAAGATGTTATGTTTTTAAACATTTCATTAATGATTTTTTAAGTTGAAAATGTAAAAATATTTAAATAAAACTGAAATATTAAAAAACATTTCAAAACAGAGATTTGACAACAAACATATTTCATTAAATTCAACCTTGAGATTTTTAACAGCTTACCAGTCATGTTTCACAAACAATGGAAAACAAATTTACTATATTTATTACAGAATATGAAGTGGAAACATAACATAAGCACAATCACAGATGTACGACAAATATAAAAAAAGTATTAATGAAACATTAATATTGCATGCTTTACGATGACGTATAAGAAATGGTACCCTACCTATTAAATTTCTACATCATTGCAATTATCTCTATGGTATTAATTAAAAAATTATGATTTTAGAGTACTTGATTGATTACAGCATATGAGCGATAATGAAATAAAAACAAATTCAAGCCAATAATGATTAAAAATAAATTATAAACAATGAAAAATAAATAATTTAGAGATGGATATATAGTTGACTGTTGAAATTATAAGGATAAAAATGGTCAGTTCATGTCAAAAAATTATTTTTATTGAGTTTATTAATTATTTTTATTTTAATTATCATTTATTTATTGTTTAAAATTGTGGATCGATGGTTGGCTGTAGTGAATAATTGAAGAGAAGGGTGGTTTTTGTGATCAGTCAAAAAAATAAATAATTATATATATATTTTTATATTTGCCGACATTTCGGCCCAAAGTTCACAATACAGTGTCTTGTGCCACCTCTTCGCTTAGCCATGATGAAGGCCTAACTTTGGGCCTAAACGTCGGCAAATGTAAAAATAAATATAGTTATTTATTTTTACTATTTTTTTGATTGATCACCCCAACTAGTCTTCCATTGAATTATTTAACTGTTAAGCCAATAAATGTTATATAAATTAATTAATTTTGTAATGACTAATTATGTTAATTAGGCATGTTTATCGTCAGTTTATTGCAAAAAGTCACTATGTAACATTTTAATGAATTCGAAACAATCAAATTTGAAAAGTTCCTGATTCATTAAAAAAATAATACTAAAAATGTATTATATTTTCGAAACCACGACACTCCTAATGAATTTTTGCACTCTATTATAGTTAATGAAAACCCTAACTTATTTTTATAAACTTGCAAGTCAGGTTAGAATAGGAGTTAGAGGTTTACCTTACTTATTTAGTTTTATAAACCATCTGACCAATTAATCCAGTGGAAAAAGTCAATAAGTATCACATATTGACTTTTTGCTGTGTAAAGTCAGAACGTCGTGCACTTAATGAAACTATTTTTTAAGTTTTTACAAGGATTTGTATTATTTATATGCACTTAATTAGTTATTGTATCGATAAATATGATCGAAATTAACAACTATTCAGATAAAAATGCTACCATCAACCAAAAGTGTACTTAGTGAATTTTTGCAATAAACCGACGATGTATTTTATTTTATCGTAATTAATAATAATAATAATAAAAGGCTTAGTGAACCCGAAGATTCGATGCCGACATCATCAATCACTTATTACAAACCTCCCTCCACCGTTTGTCGTCCAAACCCAGTCCCTTTTTAGATCGGACTTGATTTATTTTATCTTAATTATTTTAATATAAAAAATAAAATATAAAATAAATTTTGAACCACAACTAGCTTCAAGCCTGGTTGCAGGAGTTGGGAATTTAGTGCTTTACCTACTCCAATAATTATATAAAAAACAATAAAAAGTTTATCTAAATAATATCATATAATAGTTTTCTATACATTACTTATTTTATACCATATTTATTTATTAAATTATTTATTTGCTCTAGACATTATTTGAAAGCTAACATTAAGGTCCCTCTATGACACCACAAAGGCAGCAGACATTTAAATGTCAGTATCAAAAGGGCACAAAACTTTATCACAAATGTGAAAGTGTCAAATAGTGACTTAATTAGATTTCTAGAGAAAATATAATAAAAATATGTATATACAGTTCTTTGATAACAAATTTTATGAAATAACCCCAAAATTTCAAGATAAAGAATAAAAAGTAGAAGACAGAAATGCGCATACTATATTCTTTGGCGATGTCATTAATAACAACTTGATTTATACGTTTCAACGTAACAATTCATATTGTTTTTCTAAATATAATACACCCTTCTTGATATATTACTTTACAATTCAATCAATTTACAAGCGAGTAAAGCATTTTATTATTTTATATATTTGTACATTACAGCAGGATGATGCATATCTTCATATATTTGGAGATGATATTAGATATTTTTGTCAATATTTATTCAACAAAGAATATTGTTTATTTATTTATAATGAATATTTAAAATTTAAAAAAAAATGGTAAGTTTTATTATTGAAAGTGTTTCAACACATTATGTACCTAATCAGGATTCTAATTTCTTTTCCACTCAAAGAATTTATTACACTCCACGTTGAGATGTGCCCTAGTGAACATAATTAATTAAATTTCCTAAAATGATAAAAATCAAACACAAAAGCTCAAGAGTCAAATTTATAAACTACATTTGTAAATTTCCTCATGAAAATTTACATGGAGACAAAGTTTTCTTTTATTATAGCTATGAAAAAAAAGGTAAACAAACGATTTCAAGTAGTAAAACATATATCAACATGAATACTAGAAAAAGAATATATATGGATGCAAAAAAGAATTTGAATGCTTGAATTTTTTCTTTATCGAACATTTTTTTTAGAAGATATATAAATATTTTAGCCACAGATCGACGTAATTTTACATTTGGAAATGTAAGTAATTTCAAACTTTTACTAATATATGTTAATGTATTCACAATAATTAAAAATAAAGTTTAAGTTTTATCAAATTAAAAAAATAATCTAACTTAGGCAACTTAAATTATTAAATAATTTTAAATGTTAATATTTCTTGTTATATTTGCAGCTTTTTTAAATATCCCTTATTCCCCATTAATTTTTTTAAAAATTCAAATATTCATAGTTAGCGTTTTATTTCACATAATGATCCATAATATTAGAAAGATAATAAAAATTGTAGTTAATTTTTTAATTAAGTTGATAACTAAAATAAAAAAAATTGTAGTTTTTAAATAGTTACTTCGATTGATACATTTAAATTCCATGTATTAAAAAGAATAACAAAATATATTTTAAGACAGGCTAATTTAACTTAGTTAAAAATAATATTAATATAATTTACAGTAAAGAAAACCTCAATTCAGTAAAAACACATTTTTAGACTCAAGAACTAGTATCACAAAAAAAGAATTTTAAAAACAAGGAATAAAAACCAAATAATAATGATTCGATCCTATACTGTGATTTTATCACAGTTTAAAAATATTTAAAATTGTCAATATCAGCTATCTCATAATTATTTAACAACAATTTAATAAACATTAATCCTGTAAACTTAGTTTTAAAATTTAAAACTACAATATTTTCATAAAATTCAATAAATTACACTAACAACCAATTACAAATGGCTTTCAAGTAATGACATTTTTTTCAAGTATTTAAACACTACTTTAAAATTAAAAAAAAAAACTACGCCCTATTTCAAGAGGTATAAAATAAGGTGTAGAATTTGTTACATTAATGCAATTAAACTTTTATAGAATTTATTAAATGTGAATAAATAATTTAAATAGTTTAAGTTTAAACTATCTTTCTCATAGTGTTTAGAAAACAGAATGCAGGAAGCATCTAAAGATGATGTAAGGTTCTCAATATAATCTCCTGATAGGCCACTAACCTAATGATTGAGACCTGCCACTTCTTGCTGGTTATCACCATTCAATATCATTAGAACAATGGCCGAAGTCAATGTTAATTTAATAAATTAACTTAAAAAACATAAATAAAAAATAAGATCACTCAGAAGATATTTGTCCAAATCCATTAGTATATATTCACATATTGTGGTATATAGTAACACGGGACGAGATATCTAGATAAATGGCTTTTCTTAAAGCACTGAAATTGATAATTGGCACACAACTGTAAGGTTTGCATATTGTATCAATAAAAAATCGTTGACAATACATCAATAAAAAACACTATTCAATCATACATCTATAAAAAATAAACTATTTACTTACCAGTCGTTTTTCTCTTGCTGACTCATGCCCAGCATTCGGATTTGTCAATTTCTTTCCGGCATTCGAACAAACATTTCTTATGAACTCAACTCTCCTTTCTGCATCTTGTAGATCATCGGACAGAGCTTCTGTTTTTCCAGCTCTGTACATGACACAATTATTCACTACACACATATTTTCAAACTTTGCATAATAATAAACACCGAACACATCAAAATGATTACAGCCAGTTTAAGATAAGTTTGAATCTTGGTCTCCTCGAAAGGTTATTGATAAAAATAATTACTTATTTGAATAGCTAAATAAACACTCGTTCAGGCTGTTTAGATTTAAATTTATTTTTTATTTTATAACAATAAAAACTAACCTGGAAAAAGTTTGATCTGCAAGTTGCTTTACCCTGAAAAATTGTTTCTTCATATTGCATTGGAGTGGTGACCACTAAACACAACTATCAAGCATCCTCTAGGGAATTGTTATCACAAGTTTTGCTAACTGAAACCGATATCGTATATCTTTGAGCTGAGTGTCATTTATTAGCATAACAACTATATCACCACACCCAAGGTTAAAATTAAGAGTATTAATTCAAATAAATAGATACGAATAACTAATGTCGTATTAGGGAGGGAAATCTCATTCTCCACGACAGAATCAAAAATATCGTATCAAGACAACAAAATTATATCAGCCGAGCAGACTGTATTAATTTTAACCTGACACCGAGTTGTGACTAGACTCCGCAAGGCTTGCACCCTATCTGGGCACTACAACAACATAACAGAACACTTCAAAATCAGCAAATGGTGGATTTTACATCGAATTATATACCTTAAAAATTAAATTTAAGAAAATTGTTTTCTTAAGTTGAGATATATAAGCCTAAATTGAGTTTTAATCAACTGATTCATCCTCATAATGAAGTGTGCACAATCAGTTGCCCCCCCCCACCATTGTATCGCAATAATCGTCTTCATAAGTTCATTTTATAAACAACTCAATCTAATCTAATTGACCTTTTAACCAAGAAAGTGTTTCGATTTAATAACGTTTTATTTAACGTGTTTAATCAAACAACGCCAAATGTTTTAAAATCGCATTGAACACAAAAGTTTTTATTTCAATTAGATTGAACCGCAAGTTAAAAATATACTAGCTACGGCATTCTATAATTGATAAGATTACATTTATCATATTGTGCTTAAAACATCAAAGATAAGAATTTTAAAATCAATTAATCTTCCATTCTCTTTATCGCTTAAACATTATCTTGAAGTAATTTCTATAATAATGGTCTTTTTTAATGACGAGTTTCATAAATGAAACTAAAATATTCCATATTATGAATAGTAAGTATAATTTTTAATTTATACTTATTCATATATTTAAAGCAGTTTAAAATAATGAATAATTCAAATTATACTTCTCAATACATATTTGACTCATCGTTAACTCCTCTTACATTAGGAGTTAACAGTTGAGCAAGGACGTCCTCAGTATATTTTTTGGAGGGAGGTCTGAGGGTAGGAGGGGAGAAAGGAGGCGAAATGTAAACTTTTCTAACAATTTCAATAATTGTAAATGTCAAAATTAACAATTTCAATTTTAGTAAGAATAAAATTTTCAGGAACATTAATTTAAAAAAAAAAATACAATGCATCTATTTAATAAAGAATTTGTAATATTTCCATCTAGGATTTGAACTTCTCTGTACAACAACTATTTTTCTTTTCTGTTCAACTACAATATTGTGTCAATAAAATATCAATTTCATGATATATAAGGTACTGGTATTGGATTTAATAAATTTTTGAATAAAATGATTTATCACTATTTTGAAATAAATTCTCAAATTTACCAAAATTTTGTATTTTCAAACTATAATGGGGGAAGGGTTAGAGTGTCACCCTTATTTGCCCCCTAACATAAAGACGTCCCTGTTGGTAGGATTTTATTTTTAAAAATAATATCAAGATAATTACATGTCAAGAAAAGCATTGCACAAATATTCATTTTAAGTTAAACATTTAACTATTGGTCTAATTTGTTCCTTAAAATGCCAATGAATAATTAAATTAATGAACATTCAAACGTAGGTGCAGACTTTCCATTTTGATTGGGAGGGGGGAGGGATAGACTAAAAAAAGGCGGAAGTTTTTATTATGTGTAAAAATTCTAAATAATTATTGTCGAACGAACAAATATAATATTCAATATTTAAAATTAATTGATTTATATGATTGTATAGTTGTAAGGATTATTATTTTTTGTTTTACTTACTCTTAATTTATATTTCATATTACTAGTTAGCCCGTGCGAAAAATTCTCAGAAAATTTTGTTTAGTGAAGAAATAGCAAAACAATATGGAAATTTGTAGTTCCTATGTATTATGTAAGGAAGGAATAAATATTTTTTCCTTGGTCGATTACAATATTCCATTAAACATAATAGACCAAAATATTTGTACAAATTGCTTTGCTAGGACCTATTTTTAAACGCTGACTGGAAAGATAATAAAAGTAATATAGACAAAATAATGCCCCGATCATAAGATATTCTAAATTATTAAAAAAAATAAAATGTAAGAACTACCTAATGTCTTCAGAAATAATAAAGTTAATATATCAGCCAGGAAAAAAATGTAGTAGACTATTCTATTCCTAAATACAATATCTTTAAATCAGAAGACATTATTAAGTATACAAAACTAATAGACTGTATCTTTGTTAATAATTGTCAGATTTTTACGATTTTTTTTTTTTTGCAGGTAATTTAGTAATCTTTCTAATTATCATTGGTACAATACAGAAAAAAAAATGCGTACTTTTTAAGTTATTCGCAAATAAAGTTTCTTTTCCTCCATAACTTTGTTCCCAGAAATTTCGGGGGGATGGGACTATTTTTCGCATGTGAAGGAGAAGAATATCTTCAAAATGAGTGGTCAATCATTGGATTTGATGAACAATTGACGAAGTTATGGCGAACCAACAAAAAAATACCTTTTGGAGATAATATATAGGATTAATCTCGCGTTGTTGATGTTTTTACTTCCATCGTGTGGTCTTAAGCACACACTTTAGTTGTTTTGTTTAACTTATTACATATACGAAAATATAAAAAGAAAATACAATTGAATATAGAACGTAATTTGTTTAGATTAAATACAAGGGGGAAGGGAGACAGCCTTTATAAAATTGGCATATTTCTCGAACTTTTTCAGCTAAAAATGAGTAATGTAAAAAATAGAAAAATATCTTTGATATCGTAGTGTGTATAACCTTAAATAAAAATACGTTTTCCACAGTCCGGATAGTTTGCCGCGAAAAATGTGATAAGAATATCACGTGAAAATTGAGGAGTGATTGAATCATAAAATCCAAGTATATGTTAATACCCACATATATTATTAAAGTAAGGCTCGAAATCGACTTTGAACCAAATATAAGCTCCTGTCATGCTCAAACACCATGAATGGGGTACCGTTGGATTCAGAATTTCACGTCGAGTTAGCGAATCGTATTCTCCACTTTTTTTTTTTTTTTTGTCTTAAATAAATAAAGTCGATACAAATATTTTGCTAGGCTTCAATACTGGAACGGTGGTAGGTTTGTAGACCGATACCGGATAATGATTGGGCTTTGGAGATTTTGATGCGTCCTGCGTTATTAAGCCCCAAAACGTACTATTTTCGAGATAACGCAAGGCATGGGGTTTGCATCCACACAACCTGACGTTAATTGTAGTACTGGCATTGAATACATGTCTCATTTCGTCGACTTGAGGTCTCTATGATCGAGACAGGAGGAGCTTATATTATTTATCGATGGTGATTTTGATCGGCAACCCATATCATCGTTAATTCTTCACCAAATCTCAAGATTGAGCCACCAATTTCGAAGACTTCCTTCTCCTTAAAATAGTCCAATCACCCCGAACATTCAGGCAAACAAGTTATGAAAGAAAACAAACTTTATTTGCGAATAACTAAAAAAATACACACTTTCCCCTCGGTTATGCCCATGAATATATAAAAGATTAATAAATTACCTACAAAAAAAAAAATCGAAATAGGACAATTTTTAGCAAAGATACAGCTTATTGAAATTTGTAAACATGTTGGTTCCAAACATTAATGAAGATTTAAATTAATTTTTGTTTCCGTTGTCGATTATATTTATCGATAAAGTAACAAGTGATTTATTTATATTTTGATACGTAGCATTATTTTCTTTTCTTATTAATTTGGCATTTGATAACAATATGCTGTGAGGATTTTTCGCAAGGGCCTACTAGTATGTATTATTACCTTTGAATATGCATGACAATTTAAATAAAATTAAAATTTAGGTATCAATAAAATAGTTACATACCTACTACTAAGCATAAGCCTAGCTTGTCGGATTGTCATAATCGATTTTAGTGTACATTTTATTCATTCATGTAATTTATTTATTCTTAATTTTAATTTTTTATTACTTCAAATTATTGGGGAAGGGAAACGATGTTCCCGCCCTTTCTACATTTTTATTGTTGGAAGGGAATTGCCCCCCCCCCCCATTAGAAGTCTGCGGCTATGCATTTAGATAACCTGAATCATCCAGTTTAGTAAAAAATACTGAAATGAGGGTAAGAATTTATAATTACGGTCGACTCATAATGTTCAAGGAGAAGTGAAAATAAGAATAGAAACTTTTAAAACTGTCAAGAAAATGAGAGGGTTTTGTGTTTTAAAGAATAGCTAGACATTACTCATATTTCATACTTGATGTTTATTTTAATAATTCATCAGAGAACATCCTATAGCTTCCAAATCGAGAACATTCCATCTTATTGAACAATGGATGGGGTACTTCACTTTCTATTCCGCTTGTTGAATGATTTGAAAATATATTGCTATTCATTAAAATGAAAATATTAACTATTAACTATAATATAACCTATTAATACTGTGCTCAGTTAAAGAAATGTGTTCAGTTAAAAACAAATATGGACAAATTAAAAAGAAAAAGAAAATTATTTCAGTCTGTAATAAAAAATATAACGTTTTCGCATCATTGTATGGCAGTGTTGCCTAATTTAATTATTTAAATGTTTGTTTTTACTTTCACTTACGGATATATGAAATACATAGTAAGTGTAAGTATTGCGATCGTGAAAATTTTCGAATCTCAGTTTTCAACGGAAATACGTGTTTTGAGGTCCCCTGAGTCCAAATAACCAAATGTCGCAAAATGGTCTGTGTGTGTGTATTAACAGTCTAGCTCATAAACGAAAAGTAGTACGAAACTGATATCAAATATTTAAGGTTTGTATATGGGCCGGATGTGACATCAACTTTTTCGTTAAAATCGACTAACCGGAAGTGCCACTTTATATGAACGCTGAAACACATTTTTACAATTTTCTCAAAAACGACTCTAACGGTTTTGATTAAAATCGGTGTATCATTGTATAATTAAGTGGTCTTTAATATAAATTAGGTCTTATCCCCATTGATGTCACTTTACAGGGCTTAAATGCCCAATGTTCATATGCGTCTTCCTCTAAAGTATCTTTAATATGGTTTATTTTAAATAATCAATTATTTATCATTATTAAAAGTTATGAAAAAATTCTAAATATAACTTTTGAATGAATTTGATGATTGAATAAAGTAGAAAAAAATAAAAATGCTTTTCCAGATCCAGGTCGAAAATGAATCTCTGGAAATACTAGTCCGAAGATACACGTATAATATATCGTTGGAAAGCGGAGAATTTCAGTAAAAACAATATCGAATATAGATCGTTGTAAAAGGAAACTGAGATTGGCAAAAAAAGTTATAAATAATATTTTTTGAAAACTAATAATATTTAACGTAAATCACATGTTTTCATAGAAATTAAATGAAATTTACTAACTAAATGCAACCTTTTAAAATATTTTTAAGATTGAAAGAAATATTTAAAATCCACCTAATAAAGGCAATGACATTGTTTAAATAACTATTCCATCGTACTTGTGTGAAAGAAGAAGTAAAATATAAAATCATTTCATGGATGTATAAAGCATATGTTCATAACGTTAAATACATTTACTGTAGTTTGATAATTTTATTAGAATCCATAATCAATTGATGGTACAATCCATTATCAACCGGTGATATAATAAATAGGACTTTGGTTATTTTAATGGTATTCATGATTTGTTAGCTGTAATGTTTTAGCTTCAGCTCAGTTAAAAATGCAATTCAAAAATTTTATAATAGCCCGATATGGCCGAAAATAAT